GCAGTCCTCATTTCGTGTTAACGAGCCAGTTTGGTTTTCTTGATCGCGATTTTAGGGTAGAGATAGGAGGCCAAGGTTGATATTAGCAGTGAAGTCCGCAGCAGGGAAAGTCAAATGATCTGCTCTGGCGATTGGGTAGGTATGCACCTGTTTGGTCATGCACAAGCTGTTCGTCTTCTACATTTTTAAATTAAATGTGGGCACGAGCTTCAAACTCATCTAATCCCTCAGAGTCTGCCGCAGGAAATAGAGAAGCGAATTTCAGGGAATGTCTGTTACAAAGTAACAGACGTTTGTGAAGTAGCGACCTCTGTATACCTGGTTTGATCCTCTTTGTGAGTTTTGGAAATTCAAAAATGCAGTTGTCCTCCAGCTTCAAACATTACAAACATGGCCCAATGGTAAGCCCCAGGAAGCCGTTATCCGCATCTTTGCATGCTAAATTGCTATGGAAAGTTACGATGCAAATCTCACTCATCTCAGGAGGTCTGCCATACAATCTAGGACGCAGTCTGCCTTGTATGGAGACTGCTTTCACCGAATTGTCTTGTATATGTGGACGAGCTTCTATACCTCCATCGATTGTTTCCACTGCCTCTAGGAGAATTAACCATGGTTCAGAATGCAGTGTACAACAATTCTGCCATCGAATTACTTCCACGCGGGGAGGGGCCTGGGGAATAGACCTCATTCTCGACAAGATCCAAGACCACTGCAACCTGATACATTATACAGGTCTCCAATTGAGTTTAAGATGCCTAGAATGATCAACGAGGAGCTAAGCAAGATATTTGTGCCTGGTAATCGCATCTCATAATTTGTGGAGTGTACATTTGAGTTTGTTCAGCTAGCTCTGCTGCTCCCATTGGAACAAAGTACTGTTTACTCTGCTTATCTACATCCAGTCGAGACAGACGCTGAAGATTGTTGGAATATTCATTGCCACATTTTTAATTGCCATTACTTAGCTCCTTTTAAGTTCACTTCTAAAGATTTAAATGGGTGCAGCGCTGGCCACTAAAAATGTCACAGGGCAAATTTCATAAATTGATAATGAACTCTACTAACAATCCGGTGATTGTACGACAATAACAGCTATTGATTACCCACTGCTATGTTTAACCACTCAAATCTTTGGTCTGAGATATGCTGCAGAGACCGTGGAGAACCTTTTGACTATTCCTCCATTGTCTTGGCTTGAAGTTGACGACTAAAAAATCTGAGTTTGTCAAGTCGGTGACGTGAATTAGCGAAGTGCCAGGCGCACAGACATGTAAGCGTTTGCTATCAGATTCTGTTTTCGCTTGTTTGTCCGCAACAGATTAACATGAATGCTGAATCTCTGAAACCGGCCCGAAATCGACATATTTTGTAACTCAACAGAATAGTTTAACAATAAACATGTAAGTCAAGATTGTAACTTTTTCATGTCTTCTAATTCAGACCTATTTTTTTAGTAATTTGTGACATCCGATGAGAAATATGGATTCAACTTTCAGTTTGTGTACCTTGGCCAGACGATACTTGATTGGAATTTGTTCATGACGAATTGTTTGTTCATGACGAATTCTGCATAGTAGCTGGCTGTTCGAGAAGATCTTGCCACCGACACATAGACCGACCCTTTTTGCATTGAGGGTTGCTGGACGGCGATGTCTTCAGGGGATTACTCGAGTAAAATTAAGGGGAAGTTTACCTATCCCTTTTTTTTAGCAACGAGTAGGTCAGATCCAAAAAGAAATGAGAGATGGATCGAAGTCCTTCTGCAACTTGCACCCGTGTCACACCCGCACCGACCTTTCTCAGCAATCGTTGACTCCTTCGCGAGCGATATGGGAGTCCCGTGAGCTCAGTGTGCATTTCTGTACCTAAGAGCTTAGGTTTTGGCAATCTGTGTGAGTACAATCACTTTATGGCCAGGGTTTTGCCATGGAGCTCCCTTTGATTGCGCCTAACTTTAGGATCATATCATTATTTCTAGGCTTGGAATAGGTTCAAGTGACGTGTTGGAGGAGATGCAGCCGGCTAAAAACTTGAAAAAGTAGCAAAATCTGGCAATGTTTCGCAGGGGCAAAGTCAAGCTACCTTTCAGTGACCCAAGATAGACTTGCATGTCTGTGACATTTCTCGTTTTGCTTGGCCCCTCCGTTCGCTTTCAGTGAGTGAATCCAGGCTTTGGAGGTTCAAGGGATAACCATAATCATAGTGATACCTCTCCTCAGGGTTATCAGTTCCAGAAGGAGCAAACCTGAACTCCAGAGTGTACTAGCGTGAGCATCGATGACTAGCCCACAATTTCGCGGAGACCGAAGTTTGACGAAGCATGCACTAGACTGTTAACGAAAACAATATATTCTGCAACTGGGAACAGTAACAGTCCATCAGCACACTGAACATTGGGTGGAGAGTACGTGGCCTACTAGTCTTCTGCAGCCAATGCGTCAACATAAACCAGAGAGCTGGTCTAACTCGAAAATTGAGCTATTAGATAAATCTCTGCCAGTATGCACGTTGATATCCTGGCACTATCAAAACAACTTACACACTAACTGTTTGTACGCCATTGCATGAGTTGGGGTAACCGTGGTCAATAATGGGTAGACCTCGGCATTTTAGCTCGTCACACATTTACGCATGCTGGTCACGCAGATCGTATGTCCAAGAAATCTGCATTTACTTCAATGCACTTTCAGTATTCGTCGGAAGCGATCAGCAAAGTTCAAGTCGAGAGAAGCGATTCTCCATAAATGACAACTTCGTAACAATCTCGATCACTGTATGCTATCAGATTATCAGCCCTTTGATATGAGGTTCCGAAACTGAGGCGCACTTTTGGGAACAGATTGCATAGGTGAGCAACCGGGTGAACACTGGAGATGTTGTGGTAGTCTTGGCGTAAGCTTCAAGTATTGGCCATTGGAGAGGTAAGCCTGAATAAGAATCATTTCTTTTGTCAATCAAGCATTATCAAAGTAATTGAAGGTTGAGTTGAGAAAACAGTGTGACGTTTATGATTTCAAAGCCAAACGTAACCACCCTTCGATCTTGTCATCTCCCGCTCCATGGAACAAAGCGTGCCTCACAACAAACATATAAAACAAATTTGTGGAATAATTCTTGATCCCTGTTTCCCAATGTGAATGAGATTTGTCGCTCAATAACTAGCTACTCAGTGTATTATCGGTTTGATACATCTTTGCCGGCACTGGAATCCACGGATATACCCAACTCATGTTTTTTTGTCTCTTCAGAGCAATCGTATCGCCTCTAAACTTAGATGGCGAGATGGCTTCGGGGGCTGATGTCGGCTTCAAGATAAACATTCGTGAGACCCCCCTTGAAATTTGTCGATTAATTATTGTCGAATTGTAAAATGCACAAACTGGTACTTCTGTGCAACCTTCTTAGACTGATGGCAGACCGTCCTTTCTGCCTAGAAGTGTGTACCCATCGCCTGCTAAGCGGATCCATCCTGATCTCAGTATTTCCTGCAAGGATTTTCTCAATCACCGCACAGCAGTCATTACAACGAGGTAATCGGTTTGCCTTTTACCACACTGTGTCCAACACAGAGTGTCGACCTGATCAGTGGAGCATTGACAGGTAAGGAGGACAGAGACTCGAGGTGGGCAGAGACGGGTTATTTTGTGAGATACGGCTGAAGCACCAGTGTACCTGTCAATGCTCGATTGCCCATGCACACTGGTGCTCGAACGTTGCACTTCGAGAAAAATGTAGTATTTGAAAGCCGATTATAGTACAATACACTATCAGTTCAAAGCGAATAAGTGGCGCAAGGCTTCGGCTGAGGGGAGGATTTGTAACTTAGGGGTCAAGCGTCACATGACATACCCGATGTGGGGAATAACGCTATTTGAGAGTTGGCAAAAAAACTGATTGTAAAGTCCAAAAACAACTCGACCGACGTTTTGGGTGATCTACAATGTACCTCATGCTTCTTGTCCTGACGAGGGTATTGACCTTTGGCGTCCTATTGTCGAATACGTTGGAAATAAACAGTTAGTTCTCCGACAAGCTGGTCGTTGTTAGTCCATTGCAGCTAGAATGATGCAAGATGGGTTTGGATTTTACTCCTGAGTATCTGGAATAGAATCAGTCAACAGTGAAAGTTCAAAACCTTGAAATGTTCAGCAACCTCCTTGTTCACAAATATGTATGGCTGGAGGCGGTATATCCCCCATTTTCACGGCATCTGTCCCTCCTACATCTGGTCAGAATAGTGGTTGGAGAATTTCTAGGAAGAGAACGACGACAAAACAGCTCCTAATTGATCTACTACAGTACTACGAGCCGACGTTTGTCCATCTTATTCATACTTGTGGGGGACACGCACAGAAGAGTGACTCAAGCCCTTCAAGGCAGTGAAGGTGTTTCGAAGCAAGTAAGCCTAAATTTTTGCACGTTAACCTGGAAATAGAAATCTATTCACGTCGTGATTGACGCAAGTTGGTTGGTACTATGGACCCGTGGTAAAAAAAGGTTCTGCTAGAGAAAATTAGACTCCAGTTTTAACAACACAACATATGTTAAAAGAAGAAAGGTAATATGGACCGACGCACCGCCTCTGTTTGCATGCAAACTCTGTTTACTTGTGCTCACAAAAATGCAAATAAGAAACCCAGTCCATGCATTTATTGACTTGAATTACTGAGGTTTATGGCTATATAAGAGTATAACCTTCAGAGATACCGGCTTTAGAAGCTTTTTGCCTAATGCCTGTTCATAGATGCAGCGGTACATGATCTTGTCAGCTAAGCTATCTTCCATACCATTCTAAGAGTCTGGTTAAATTTTCATCTGTCTGCAGGAAGAAATCATAGAAAATGCCCTGGAACTTGTGATGAGATTTTGCGGCCTGAGTCATATCTAGAAGTGTCGGGAAATGACAGTAGTAACTTTTTACACCACCATCACGTTTTTTAAATCTGAAACGCTCGGATATATTGAAATACTTCTCATTAAAAAGATGGTGAGTGTTTTCAGTGCTGCAATGTGATTTTTGTTTTGGACGCCTCGAACTGTGGAGTCAGTCAGAGAGACCGCACTTGCATCACGTTTCTATGCTCAGCACTCATGCAGAGCCTTTCAGAGTCCCCCAGATCGATGCTTCTATTCTCTAGGACGGCAGAGTAAGCACGAATGAGCTCCATCGGACCACGTGCAGGTTGTGTGAACGGTTATAGCTGTGACCTGAAAAGATTGTCAACAACGGACGTTGTAAAACATTCTAATCATCTGCCGATTGGACGTACCAGCAGGAAGCGTCTGCAGACCTGCACAGTGCACGAAGAATTGAAGTGCGTGGAATACTCTTCAGGGTGTTAATGTGCGTGTTGCCTCTCTTCAGAGTCGAATGAGAGGAGACCCCATCTACGGTCCACACCAGTCCAGATAGTATTGTATAAGAAATTCATATCCAACATGAGTTTACAACGTTACAACATGTTCAGCCACCCAGCAAGCGCGCAATATTAGACTTTTACAGTGGGTTGACTTGAACTCACCGTGTCGGTCAATTTCTGAAATATATTACAGGCGACGAGAGAATTTTCATGCAGTAGGAAGCTGGGAAGCAAGATACGTGGATTACCTCCAAGATCGCTTCGGACAGTGCTATCCGCGATTTCTTTTTATCATAATTTGGTATAGATCCAAGAAATTGGTGAGGGGGCTGTGACTATGAAAATCTGAGACGCAGCGTGACTCATCGTTTTGCAGGAGCGGCGTGAGATCATCCCAGGGACAAATCCTGGCGGAGCCACAGTGCACCATCGTAGAGCTGTTTTTGATAGATATGAAATGTCAACAAAGAGGCGTGTCTGTGAAGAATAGATTTTGCGGGGAATAAGTAGGTTACCGCTTACTTAATTTGCACGCAAATGTTTGTGGGTTGAATTGAAGCAGAAGTTTCTCTGGTTATTGAGCGCCTCTAGATTTGTATTTAAAGCCTGAGTGTTTGTGCACGTTCAGATTAGAAATTATGTTATCATTAGAAGCGCGACAGAAGTGATTTACCTTATTCGAAGCATACTCTCAATTTCAAGAACTCGCATCTCCTCCTACCTTGTAACGGCTGGTCCATATTGTCGGCGGGCTTTTTGTGCATTTCATGTCCAGCTTGTGTTGGATTGCCAACCCGGATTTGTAGTTCTGGCGCTTGAAAATCCACATACATATCGATCTTGACAAACAGATTATCACGCTTGTGTCGAGTTTGAAAACGTTGATCAAATCGAGGTTGTGATACCAAAAACCGAAATGGTGAGTGGGGACCATTCAACAATCGTGAAGCCCCGCAATGACGAAAGAGAATACAAAAGAGTTCTTCTCTCAAACGGGCTTCAAGTTCTGCTCGTGAGTGACCCAGAGACTGATAAGGTTAGTTCCCTTTGTGGCAGTCTATTTGCAACAAGGATATTGCATCCAAAATGCAAGGTTGTAACTCAGTCTTCCAGTGCAACACAGCTCATTCTAATCCTACTAGACTTTTCGCCTCAAATATTGGGGGTGAAAAAGCATCTCAAAACATTCGTAGTGTCCAAACAGCGCTTACTGATGCCAGGATCATTGTAACTAGTTGCACACCTTGAAAGCCCAGTCGTTCAGACTTTCCGTTGAACCACGGTGACCAGCTAGTTCGCAAGAGTTGTGAGTATTCATGAATTCCAATTTGGTTTGAGGTAATTGCAGGGTGCTGCAGCAATGGACGTACATGTGGGGTCATTCAATGATCCAGAGGGTGTGCAGGGCTTGGCCCACTTCCTAGGTGTGCATCATGCCAATCCAACCAAACAAACTGAATAATTATGTGACTGAACTTCTGATTCTGAATTTTCGTCTTCACTATTTCGACGCTAGTCCTCGAGGATTCAAGAATTTGTTGTGATGTTGACGCTGGAGACAGAATTTTCCAGGATGATGCTTTGTCTAAACTGCCTCAGCTGTTGCATTTCTCTATTCCTCTGTTCCTCTGTTCCAAACACGTATCAGTCTTAAACTGGGAAGATTTGGAAGAAAATGTGATTACTAGTGAGCCATCTAAAGTGGCCGTTGTAACGAGTATTTGAGATGCAAAATCCTACAATGTGATGAATTTTTTTGACGTTCTGTGGACGGCAGAGCATATGCTGTTTTATGCAAGTGAGAAATACCCCGAGGAGGGATCGTACAAGAAATTCCTCAGCGAAGTATGGTCCATTCGCACCATTTTTCCTTTTCACCTTGATGTCAAAGATCTGTGGAGTTCCCCTCGCTTGGTTAATATAGGTGACTTGAATTTGAGTGAGTCAGCTCTTGTTCGAGAGTAAAAGAAACTCAGGAGGTTGACGGATCAGAACAGTAGTTCTTTAATTACGACTCTTAAATAATTGGTCAGAAATCTTCTGAAAGTGCACCCCCAACTTTTTTACATTGTCTGCTGGTGGCTGCAGCATGGAGGATATGCAAATGCTTTTACTGGGGATGAAAATACGAATTATCATTTCGACGTCAATGCGACTCATTTCGAAGAAGCTTTGGACAGGTGAAAATCTAGTGCATGATCTTTTTCAGTTGCTTTTTTTTGTTTGTTTGTTCTGATACTGTTCAAGTGGAATTCCTTGGAAGTATTTTGCTCTAACAAAAGTTGCAATGCTTCGTGGCGTGGAGAATCTGCAGATTCGCTCAGCTCTTTATATGCCCTTTGTTTTCAGCAGAGGCAATCTCAAGGGAGATGCATGCTGTTGACTCTGGTATGGAACTTGCCCTGGCTCTCACGTTCCTTGAAGATTTAATGCTCCTAAATCGAGTCTATGTTCTTCCATGAATAGTTGAGATTTTGGGTTTAGCAGTTTTAATATCAAGTGAACCCACTGAATTGCAAAGATGGTTTCAACACGCTTTTCTCGTGTCTTTTACACATACAAGTTCGAGTTCAGAATGACCTCTTGGTGTACTGATGCTTTGGAAACTGGATGTTGATTTCATGCTTTCAGAGAATAGTAAAAACCTCTCATCAGATGCATGGCGGCGGTGTCAGGTGAGTGTGCATGGCACAGACGCCGACTCGGTTTCATACTACCAAAAAACATGCAACAAAATCCTAGAACCAGCAATTTCGGCTTGCGAAACCTGAGTTTTTAAAAAAGTATATTAAGTAGCATAACAGTCTGATGATGATGTGCTGCAGTTACAAAAGAATTTCAGCTCCAAAGACCATCCTTATCACAAGTTCCAAACAGGTAAGAAGTTCACTCCTTTCGGTTGATGAATCAAACAAATGCTAGCCGGATTCTCTTAAAATAAACTACAATATAATATGAGGATTATCAAGCCGCGAATGTGGGTGATAACATTTCCTTGCTCGCAGGTAACAAGACTACACTCCATACCAGACCGATTTCAAGAGGCATGGATATTCGAGAAGGATTGCAGAGCTTCTTCGAAGAAAACTACTCAGCTGGACTTATGAGTCTCGCGGTTTATGGTAAAGGTAGAAATTCTGCACTGATCCCTTTTCCATGGCCTTGTTGAAGGGAGACTCCCCACGAGTTCATGTTCTAAGAATTCCAGATTTGATCCTGCTTGCATTACAGAACCAGTGACTAAGCTCGAAGAGCTTGTACGCGAAAAGTTTTCTCTCATCAAAAACAAATGCGTAGAAGCCCTAAGATTTCCTGGAAGCCCTTGTTCCTCAGAGCATTTGAAGGTGGGTATTCATCCTTCACTTCTTAAAAGTTTGCATAGGGACAAAACCAAGAGGCGTTTCATGAAGAATTGAGTATTTTATTTGGTGCCATCACAGCATCTCGAAGAAGGTTTGTTGCTTGTGATTGTTTGATGCTAGCTCAAGAATAGCTCACAACCGATCTCACCGGAAAGAAATTCTGGATGTAGACATTGATTGTTCAGAATTCTTTGTTTTCTTACAGATTATAGTGAAAAGCGTCCCCCTGAGAGATCAAAACATTTTGGAGGTCACCTGGCCAATTACACCCAATTTTAGTAACTACAAAAAGGGTGCATCACCGTACGTCCAGCACATTCTTGAGAGTGACGCCGAAGGATCTCTCATCGCACTCCTCAAAGAATTAGGTCTGTGAAAATTCCACATCGGTTCATTCACATCAAAGCTCAAAATCTTCATTCAGATTGTACTCGATTTCTGTTTCAGGTTGCTTAAGCTTCTGTTGCAGGGGTCGTGAAATCGTTTTACCTTGTTGCAATGCAGGCTGGGCCAACAGTATATCTGCACAGGAAAATGGGACCATGGATTACGCTTTCCTCGAAATCTACTTAGAGCTTACCAATGCAGGTCAAGGTTCGTATGTGTAACTTCTATTTTGGGGGACTGAGGAGGAAATTTGATGGATGTCTTTTTGAAATTCACTCCTCTGAAGCTTATTTGATGTAATGACTGGTTTTGCAGAACATGTTCAAGAAGTCCTGGATTTCTTGTTCCAATACGTTAAACTTTTGCAGCAGGAAGGAGTTGTGGAGTGGATATATGAAGAGGTATGAGTCCTCGTCATTATCCTCCATCCGTCAACATTCCAATTGTATCTCTTTCCTCGTTTGTGCATCCTATTCGTTTGCCCTTAATTTCCTGTCATGGCGCTGGCTTTAGAAACGCGCAATGAATGAAACGTGGTTTAATTTCAAAGACAAGGCCGATCCCATCGATTATGTCGTGGAACTCTCTGACTCGATGCAGGTAAAATAGCTCACGTTCACTCTTTGCAAGTATGTTTGGGATGGCATTTGTAAACATTAGTTTTCTAAATGCTAACATTGATCAACTACTTACTGAAACAGATTTACCCAGTAGAAGACTGGCTAGCAACGGATGCCTTGTTTGCAGAATTCGATAGAAACACTATCTCTGCACTGGCAAATCAGCTCAAGCCTCAGCACGTCAGGTCGGAGATTCACCATGAAATTATCTTAAAGAGAGTTATCATTATTTCCTACTATTCATCTGTACACTACGCAAGCAATCTACTGCTCTATTAAATTTATGTTGTATATAAACCTTTTCTTGCCTACATTTTAAGCAACATCAACTTTGTAGTGTGCAGGATCTTCTGTTCTTCAAAAAAACACAAGTTGGAAACCACGGACGTAGAACCTTGGTATGGAACTCCGTACACTGTTGAGTACATTGACGACATTTGCATCCAGGTAAGCGCCTTGGTGACCTGATTCCATTGCTGAAATGTTGTTTAGAGGTTCTTTGATGTCCGCCTGCACAAAAACACTCTTCATCTTCTTGTGGTGGCACTTCACAGCGATGGGAGGATGCGCCTATAGATACAAGGTTACATCTCCCGTCACCAAATATATTTAAACCCACTGATTTCAACATCAAAAACTTTGAAGGCGAGGTAAGAGTGGTTTTCTTGTTCGTTCTAATTGATTGGGTTTGTCCACCTTTGTATGTATTTCCTAACAGTTCTACAGAAGTTCTGCTGTTCTCAAATGGATCATATCCATTTTTTGTATCGTTCTGCAGGAAAAACACCCAGTTATGATACGGAAGACTAGTCTATCGAAGTTATGGTATAAGCATGGAACAAATTTTAAAACGCCCAAAGCGTATGTGTACCTGAGTTTTCATTGTCCCGAATCAAACAAGTCAGTGGAGGCTGAGATACTTACATATATCTTCACATGGCTTTTCGCGGACGAAATGACTGAGTATGGTAAAAGAGCCATTCCTGGCTGGGCTGTCTTGTTCCTGCATTGGAAATTGATTCGCATGTCGTTTCTTGAAACAGATGTTCACATCTGTTTCACCCACCTCATATTGCTAAATAAAATGAGTCACGTAAGGTGTCTATTTTGTTCCTCCACATTATATTATGTTGTGGTTGATAACGTCGTCCCTTATTTGTATATGCAGCCTATTACACTAGTATGGCTGGACTATATTACAGTGTCTCCGACAGTAAAGATGGACTAGAGGTACGTTCTGAACGCTGCCTGACCCTTGCCGTCATGATACCTTTAAATTTGTCTGACAACCTCGTTGAGTGAATTACATGTGTTTTTAATCATTTAGTAATAGTTGTAAGTCAAAGCCATACTGCGAGTTAAGTCTTACAGTTGAGAGCATATCCAATTATTTGAATGCATAATGTCCTCAGTTACAAGTTTTCACCCGAGTCACTGCATGTTATTCAGGTTGTGGTGGAAGGATATCATGACAAATTGATGTCTCTGACGGAGAAGATAGTGGAGAAAATGCTGAATTTTCGAATGAAAGAGGACCGGTTTGCCTTCGTGAAAGTAAGATCCAGAAATCCTCTTTCCTTGCCTTCAGTATTTAACTTGAATTTACATTGATACAGTGAGCAGATTCATCTTCCTCTCGTATCTAAGTTTGAGATACTGGTCCTTACCCAGTGCTATTCTTCATAACACTGCCAACAGGAGAAGGTAGTAAGAAACTACGCAAACATGCGTTTTATGCAACCTCATGCACAGGCAAATTACGAAATCAATCATATCCTTACTCAGGAATCATGGCACTTATCTGAATGTCTCGAAGTTTTGCCATTAATTGACGCCCAAAAGTTCTCGGCTTACTTCCCTCGACTACTCTCTGGAACTTTCGTTGAGGCTCTCATTGGAGGTTCATTCCTTACTCATATTTCATGAAAGTTTGTTTGCTGCTTGTGTAACGAAAATCTTGTTTTCAGATGTGCTGAACCTGAGGAACCATAACCTGACATGTGTAGGAGCTGTCTTATATTACCACCTGTAGTAGGAATGCATACCGAATGTTGACCTTACGCAAATAGCACCTGAAACTGCGTGATACTGTCAGTAAATTTTTATGTTGTCCAAATCAATCGAACATAAATACTGCGACAACGTTTCATACCAAAGTATCGTGAAAAGCAAATTGGAATGTTATGTAAACCATATGTCCATCTTGGATGCAGGTAATGTCACAAGCAGCGAGGCCACGTCCCTCATGCAGTACATTGAAAAAACACTCAGCCCCTTGGTCAACAATAGGGCACCTAATTTCTCGCAATCACTTCAGAGGAGGATTATGTGCTTGGAAGCTGGCACGGAATGGTTCTATCCTACTGCTGGATTTAGCCCAGATGATGAAAATTCAGCCATAAGCATCTTCTTCCAGGTACTTGGCATTTATCTGAATGTACCAAGTTTTCATTATAAAACGTATTGCTTTGCTTGCCTGGTTACTCTGTCTGTTTGGGATCCCTTGCAACTGAACAGAGAAATTTTGCAGGTTGAAAGGGATTCCCCAAGGTCAAATATGTTGCTTAAGCTTTTCACTTTGATTGCCCAAGAACAATACTTTAACCAGCTTCGAACAGTGGAGCAACTCGGTTACATCGTAAACCTTTATGAGAAGTGAGCAGCCGTTTTCAAGCTCGCTTAGTTCATGGCATTGCCTCCTATCCAGCTCTTCGCGAGTTACAGACACTGCTCGTTATATGAATAGCTGACTTCATCATTAAATGCAGCATAAACTTCTCATAACGTTGTTGGTTTCTTGGATTCATAGGCATTTCGAGAACGTTCGAGGTGTGCAGATCACCATCCAATCTACTGTAAAGGTGAGGCCGGAAGAACTTTAACTCTTTTTTTAAACATTGTAAGTTTTTGTTTAGTATGATCTTACTTTCCATCATATAATCGAATTAACATACAACTTAGAGAGTGTAAGTTCCAAATTCAATCTGCAAGATTTCTTTGTCACTGTCTTGTTTACTGTCCGAAAGTATATACTAATGCGTCACTGATTACACAATTAATTTTTTGGCATTTTTTTCCCACTCAGGATCCGACGCAACTTGATCAACGAATAGAAGCATTCTTTACCATGTTCGAGGAGGAACTCCAGATGATGACGGTAGAAGAATTCAAGGTAACAGATGCACAGACCCTTACAAATTGATGAAAATACAGCCAAATTCTGTACATAAGCTACTCTTATTAACTGTTATCTAAGACTGTTCTCCTCCCTTCTGTCCCCAAGGGTATCCTAGCATCATGAAAATTTTGTGACAGTAGCCATTTCTGAGTTTCACTGCACTGACCAATATAAATTGTCCAACTATCAAATGTGACAAGGATCATGCGGTTTTGCTTGTGTAGAATAATGCTGAAGTTTTGATGGATATGAAGTTGGAAAAATGCAAAAATATATGGGAAGAGAGTGATTTCTATTGGAGAGAAATCAGCCGTGGATCTCTGCAATTTGATAGAAAAAAAAATGAGGTGCCAATCATACCCTCTCATGCTACATTCCAGTGGCACAGATTACAATGACCTCCTTTTCTAGTTTCACATTTTTCCAGTTAACATTTATCTACTAAGTAGTGCTACATAATTTGACAAGAGCCAAGGTCTCAGCACTTACTTTGACATTGCAAATGGACCATCATGAGACGCTTTCTAGCTCTTAAAGGATCAATGTACCATGTGCCAGGTGAATGCCCTAAAAGAACTGAAGAAGGAAGATCTCATTGCATTCTTCAACCAAAAGATCAAACGGAACGGCTCTGAACGGAGAAAGCTAGGTGTGCAAATTTTCGGCAACCAACATCACCGAGAACTAATCAAAGCCAAAGATGAGCGAAAACTCCCCTTGAGCTTCACAAATGATTCAGAAAATGGTCACAGCAATCCTGGCCCTACAGAAACGAAGCAAAATGAGCCCCACCCCCAAACAAACGGCAGTAAAGATACAGACAGCTATCATCTTCTAAGTAATGGAATCGCGGAAACCATACCGAGGGATGACTTTTATGAACATCTGTACACACCTGGTAATGGCTACAAACAGCAGGGGGTTACTGAAGCAAAATTTGATAGTCGCCAACAGAATGCGATATTTGTGTGCGACGAACAGGCTGCGCAGTTGGATCACACCAAGAAGACATGCGCCAATCGCATAGATGACATCCAAGCATTCAAAAGATCCCAGTCTTTTTATTGCTCTCCGAAGATTGTCCCCTGAAGTTCTCTCATACATGCTTGTCAACTTCTAGGCGACAAAATTATCAGAAAATTCTATAAGTTTAGCAGTGTAAATTCATCCTTTTTATTCATTAATTTATTTTTCAGTAATCTCACGCAACCCGTTGCCTGAAAATTTAATCTTAGTAAACTCCTCTGCTTCTTCCATTCTGAGTACAGAGATGTCTGCAATCTGGCCATATGTCAGCCTGTTCAATCACACAACTTTTGAGTAGCATTTTAAGGAGAATTCTTATAATAAATACATTGTCTTCTCCCTCCGGTTCGCATTGGCTCTCAAGATGCTGAATATACTAAGTCACTTTTTTGTAGTTAAAAATCAACATTCCTACTTTGATTTCTTACTGGCACCTGATGTACATGCAAGCCAGAATTCAAAATATGGATTACGTTGATGCAAAACATCAACTGCAGGAGTGCCTCTGTAAGATTCCAACTTTTAGTATGAGTAATCATGTTTTCTTCTGGAACTTGTCCGAAACCATCTTTAGAAATATCAAAGAAATTTTTTTGAAAAAAAAAACAAGATTAATGTAGAATAGAGAAAGATGCAGACAGAAGTGGCAAAGTGACATCAATTTTAGTCCATGCAAGCAAGCGCAGTAGACAAAAGTTTGTCTTATCGATAAAATATAGCACAGTGTTGGCACCATCCAAGGATTCCATAAATCTCACAAGCCACTGGATCGTCAAGTTCAAGCGGCTCCGTGTTCGGTCAAGCTTCACAAACGTCTCCGAGTGTGGGCACCGATAGGGCAGAAAGTGGTGCAGCCTACAGTGTCCTTGGTTTTAGAACCTTTGATAAACATGGGGTGGATGTCCATCAGTCTTCAATTATGGGATGTGAGTGTCCTTCACTACCTTGTGACTCTGCAAAACTAGGAAGGTAGCTTACATGAATAACTAGTGTGGGATATTTTCGTGTTGTGGAGATGTTGAATCGTAGAGTTGATATATAGGAGTGCATCAATGCATGTTTAAACGTTCTCCAAGTCTAAAGAAGGGCACAGACTACGACATTCTCCTCACCCTAAGTCCACCAGTTACCACCTAAACTTTCAAAACTTATAAATTTTAAAGGTAAAAAAAACCCATGAGTTTTCATGACTACATCGATTTGGCTTGGAATGGGGAAATGAGGAGGAGCCCTCGGGATTTTATTGGAAACAGCCACCAAAACGGCAGACTTACACTGACCCTTGTTGTAGTGATCGTTCATTGGGCGGCTGACGTTCAATGTGGTTGCTCCACCTCTACTCGGATGGGCACTCATGTATAGCAAATTACATGTCTCCTGTGAAGGCTTTTACATTTAAACGAATGGACTCTTTCTGTTGCCTAACGGTTTCTCAGGGCAAAGCTTAAGAAAATTTTGTCAGCGTGTCATTGGATTAAGTTCCGTATTTCCATTAAAGATGTAACCGTGGTGCATCAGAAAAACTAATTGAATGTGCAAGGCTAGGCCTAGCGTGAGATCATCCTGTTATTGAATTATGACGCCAGAGGCAGCACTTGGGACGATCACAAAATCTTCACTTCCCATTGTTGGTTGCATTAGGGGAATCTACTCGTGGGGTGGCTTTTCTTCCGTAAGCCATTTTTTCCCGCAACTAACTCCACAATCTAGTCCAGTGTTGAACAAACTTCAACACTCATGCAGATTCCATTGGTTCACTCAGGAGTGACTTCCTCCAAACCAACCTCGGGACGTGACGGTCTCTGCCTGGGTTTAGCTGTGCAGCCTCTCAACCACTCCTTCACACACTGGCTTTGACGAGCTAGGTCCGATATGATGGAGACGGAGAGCAACTAAAGCTCTGGCAAGGAATATTCAATTGTTCTTAGAAGCAGCGATCAATTTCTTATGGTTGCTTTTCAACCTGATCATGGCTTTGATAAAAACCATTTGAGATTGTCTTGATGCAGGGCTTGGCAGAGTTTTTTCTTGCTCACTTTGATTGAAGTAGATGCTTGCAATAAGATGACCAGTATGATATATAGCTTCAGTAGTAGACAAAAAAAAAACCATGGTTTGTTTTTTACTTGCTCAAAAAATTGACCCCCTTATAAGTGAAAAAATGAAACCACGAGTATTGTGCCTAGAGTCTTTTCATGAGTGCCAATTGACATCAATAAAACTAATAAACTAAGTAAGTAGAGAATTGTGATGTAATCATGGAAGTTAAATAGAGAGGAATGTTTGTAAAAGATACTTGAATTACTAATATATTGCAAGTATTGAAAAACATGTTTCAAAATAGATTAATGGAGTTCTTAAAGGTTAGGTATGAAGTGGTTATAAAACCTACAAAATAAAAAATAAAAAAATAGGTGTATTTTTATTAAATAAACTAATTGGTTAATATTATGTTAGTAAATTCTTTGATCAAAATATGGTGAGTGAGATTTTGAAGAGAAATAGAAATCTTCAAGTAGAGGCATTAGAACCTTGCAGTTAATTATTTGGGCATTAATTAAGATTTATATTATATATGTGTGTTGATGAATAAATATGTTTTTAGAAAAAAAAATAGAATCTTTATATCTAAGTATTGCTTAATAATGCCTAAATTTTTTATTTCATATTGAATACAAAGTTGTGCCTTTATTTTAAAAATTGAGAGAATTTTTTTTTAATGAATAGCATGTTATCAACATATAATACCATAATAATAAATAAATTTTTGTTTCAAAGTTAATATAAATTATAATATGATGTATTTTTTTGCTAATTTTGAACAAGAAGATAGAAATTTATTTCTTTGTATTAGGCATAATGGTTTGGCTTAAGTCTATAGATGAAACAATTCAACTTGTTGTCAAAGACATGAATTAGAAAAAAAAATGCATAAATTTGAAAAATTTGTATGTCCATGACACTTACACATAAGATAATTGGTGTTTAAAGTTATGAATTCATAAAATTGATGCATCTCCACCAACTTTTGGAGCTTTTTCTTAGGAAAATAAATGACAATATCTAAATGAAAGCTATTCCACCAAAACATAGTTGTAATAGAGATAATAATGCATAGTATAGACTATTTTATTATAAGAATAATTGTCTCTTAGTAATCTATGTTGAGTCTTTGTTTATAGCTTTTAGCAATCTACTACAACTTGAGCCTGACATAAGGAGGATATAGATCTGATTTGATACAAGCACTCATCTACAAGACAATACTTGTTTGTTGGATGGAAGTTCAACAAGCTCCCAAGTGCCATTTGTTTGATGAAATTTTAATTTTGCCATTATAGCATCTTTCCAATGTGGATTCTGTAGAACTTCTTTAATATTGATATTTTTATGCAAAATTTTAATAATATTGTTAAAATACATAGACAAATCAAAAATAATAAAAATACATGTTAAAATCTTCATACTTAGAAAGAAAAGAGAAGTTTTTTTTTTTATGTTTGATAGTATAGAGCATGTTTCTACAATAGCTTGCATACTCCAACCTGCAATGCATTATAGTTTAGAATTGACTTTGTCAAGACTAAAAAGAAGAATATAAGGATTGAAAGAATCTTTAATCTTCTAATTTTTGATAGTGTAGAGCATGTTTCTAAGGTTATATTTAACAAAAAAGACAATGTTGGATAGATCATCCTTATCAAAAACTAAACAATGGTTGGAAATGAATAAAATAGTATAACCTTAATGTGAGAGTTTTTCAATAGAGAGAAGCTTGATTCTAATAGATGATATGTAGTAAACATTGGAAATAGATTTATTCTTTAAAAGAGACATATATCAATTTTCTTTAATAAAGAATTTGATTTCACTATTTTTAGTTAAATTAAAAGGAGAACTTGAAGCTTTGAAACTTGAAAGCTCTTTTTTGGTGTTAAAAAAATGAGAATATGTTCCTTAGTCTATGGTCCATTTATTATCTACTCATGATATTATGGCAAAAAGAATAATTTCTTCTAAAGTATTGTTGTTTTTCTTTATAAGCACTAAGAAATTTGGCAACTTTATTGTTGGACTTTTGAACCAAATTGATGGCCTACTTTTTAATGTTGTAGATGAATTAATTAACTTCTTAAAGTAGAACAAAATTTATAAACTTCGTTTGGAAGTGTGCTTGTTTGATTATGGAACTTTTTTCTTAATGATTGTGTTTGTTCTAATGGATAAAAATTGGTACTCTATTTTTATCTGAAACTCCTTCTGATTTCTTTGCTTTACCTTTTGTGTAGCCTCTTCTTTTGTTTTTGCCACTACTATGGACTCTTCCAATGGTTCTTTGGACATGTGGTTATGTCCTTTGCAAGTAATTCTCAAAATCACAAAATGACATGTTAGGATTTGCGGTAAAAATAGTATTGAACATATTTCTAAAGGAGGCCCATGTCTTAGGCAATCCTGCCATTGTCAATTTGATGAGCATGTTGTCCTCCAAATTGTCCCCAACTTTGGCTACCCTGATAACAATTGCGCTCAAATGGGCTTTTGTAATGGTTCCACAGCAGCGATAAGGTCAGCGAATAGGGGAAGTGATCTCTGTTTAGTTGACGAAGCTGTGCTACAATGAAGCTGTGACAAATCATGCTTGTGATAACTAATGCTCATTTTTCTTCACTTTCAACTCCACCGGGTTCCATCGTGCAGCATTCAACAAATGTAGAACGAATTTGTACCATTGATGTGAGGATACGCAGTGGCGAGGGGATGAAAAATTGTGTGTGCAATCCGGAATGCCCATCACGTCCCAAGCTGCTTCGAAAATCCGAGGGATTTCAATCCTAGGTGACATGAACATATGAATATTGGTCAATTCTAAACAACAAAGCAAATCTTTCGCTTTCAACGGCTAGTGGTATTCGAACATGGAAATTTAGGAGCCAAGAGCAAATACCAAGAGCTAACTACCTGCTTGATTTGTCAAGTGGAAAAACCATCCTTTTTATCAAGTTCCAGGCTCAGTCGCAGACCAGAGGTCCGAATCACCGGAATAGATGAGAATTATGTGCGTAGTCAATTTTTAGAAAGACTGTTTCGTACAAGTTACGATAATAGCAAGTAGATTCAACGAGAGTACCAGTCTAGCACCGATCTGCTCAGCGACACCATTTGAGCAGCTCGTCATGAAACATGTTCTGATGAAGCACACAAATAAGATGAAAATTTTCAAAACATTGTGCAAGGCCAAGGTAAATACACTTTTACTTACAGCCATACCCTACAACAACAGCTACCACATACTTTGTAATGTACATACATAACCATCAACAATGTGGGACTTAGACGAGCAACTGTGGTTGCTGACAAGCATCTAGAACTAACCAACTAGAAACACCTAATCTATTTTCCAGGTGTAGAAACACCTGATGGAGTATACCAGAAAGCGTTGGGGAGCCCACCTTCTTCAAGGATTAGATTGCCACTCATAAATGCCGAAATTTGCCATGCTATTCGGTGAGTAGACACCATCCATTGGCCGAATATACATCGTGTCAACATACTTTAAATATGGCTGGCAGATTAACAATACATGATTTAGCTCAAATTGCGTGACCCTAAATGTGAACGCAAGAGGAAGATCCAAACATGCGAGACGTCGAAATGTCCTATAATGCCAACATAATGAGATTAAGACGACAAAGCCAGAAGCCGCTTCTCCAGTAGCTTCGACGCGCGAAGCTTTTCCAGGGCCTCTCCTTGCTTGCCTGCGCGCTTTAATTGGACTGCTTGAAGCTTTTGCGCCCGTATTTGCTCTTCTAACTGTTTCTTCTCTGCCTCGACTGCTCCCCCGGTCACATTAGAAGCCGCGACCGCTCCTCCTAGCGATGTTCTTGAACTTGAACCCACTTCACATCGTGTTTGCCCAGTCACTGCTGCGAGGGGGTTTACGGGTCCTTTGGGTCTACTAGCCCCTGCCAATTCACCTTCTTTAAACCCTACGCTCTTGAGGGCTGCTAATAGCTGCGGGTCTAAAAGATCATCCACTCCAGCTACATCTCCCAAGTCCTTCCCGTGCATTGGATCCAACTCTTCCATCTGTTTTTCTAGGTTCTTGGCCAATTCATACTCTGCATCAGCTTCATCAATTTTCCCTTCACGCCTCAGACCCATGGCCTTGCGCTTGTGAGCAAGTGACTCCTGTTGGAGCTTCATACGATCTTTTGTTTGCCGCACTTGTTTCTGCATTTCTCCCTTGTGATCCGAAACCTTCGACGGGGAACTTGTTTTGACTGGAATTGAGGGTTCAATCTTAGCTCGAGTAACTGTTGTTGACACAGGAACTGCTTCTGCGTTGTTGCGTGCAGATGCATCGCCTGTTCCTGTGAAACGAAAGAGTTATAAGGTCAATCAGATCATGACCTAAAATCCTTCGTCAACTGAAAGTTAGATTTCCTAAGAATATCTGGCTGACAAAATCTCGACTTCTGAGATCAGTAAACAAATCACTACTAGAGGTACTTTGTTCATTGACAACCACCTGCTGATGTTAATGCTGATCTCAACACGGTTGGTTCCGATTCGTGCTGAACCATTTGCTTCTCTAGCAATTTGGCTTTTCGAAGCTCTTCCCTTGCCTCCGCTGCCTTGCCTTCCCGCTTCAAGGCTAGTGCCTTCCGCTTATGAGCTAAGATTTCTTGCGGTAAATTTAGTGTTGCTGGCTGCGGGCTTACCGCAGCTTTAGTCACGGGTACCTCGGCGGGCTTGGCACTAGGTAAACTAGAGAGGACCCTTTCTGGAGGCTTAGGAATGGATTGTGTGAGAGGGGGCAGTATGACACGATCTGCCTGCTCTTTGCTTGCATTTGATTTAGTCCGATCTCCAGTAAGTAGATCCATGAACCAGAAATTGTGCTGCTGTGAAGGAGCAGCACTATCTTTTGGTACTGTATGGTCCAATATAGGTGGGACAAGATCCAAAGTTTGGCCAATTTCACCATATTCACCCTCAAAAAATGTCTCTCCCTCATTGTGTGAACTGTCAAGTTTTTCTTTACTAGTCCCCTTCGAAACCGTTCCCTTACCAGTCTTCTTTCGAGGAACTCCCCAATCAGACTCCAGGACCATTTCCAGCTTCTCTACGCCTTTCCCAGTTTGTGCTTTAATACCAGAGGATTTCACATTTCCCTCAACTGGCTCCATTTCACCAGTTGCTGAGTTCTTCTTTAAGATTGGAGCTGATTTGGAAGGAACTCTTACCTCCGCATCTCCTTGCCATCCCACACTCGCTAAGGCAGCAAGCAATGCTGGATCTTGCATGTCATCATCAGTAACTTCAACGCCATCAATTGGCAGGTCATCGAAATATACAGGTGGTGCGGATTCTAGAACTTGCCTGAAAGAAGCAGCTGCATTAGTTCTAGTGGTTCGTTGTAGTATAACGTTAAGCAGAATCACAACTATTACTACAAAACAGGTGAGAAGGTTCTAGTGCATGAAGACCACTGAGCTAGAGAAAAAGATGTTATACAGTTGAATAGAACTGAGATTACTCTTACTTCAAATGTTGCACGGAAGCAGCTGGTGGGTTTGGCTCGGCAACAGTGAGAGGAATGGCTGCTGGACCTTTGTCTAACTCTGCAATTTTCTGCTCGATAATTTTTGCTTCCTGGAGCTCAATGCGAGCTTCATCAGATTTACCTTCTCGTTTCAAAGCAAGAGCTCGTCGCTTTCGACCCAGTAACTCTTGCTGCAACTGTGATTTCGTTTTGTTTGAGTACATAGGGTTAGAGGTTGCTGGTACAGATAACACTTCGGCAGAAGCATTATATGTAGGTTCCGTTTCCTTGGGCTCAATGGCCTTAACATCCGATTTCATGCTTTCAACTTTCTGGGGTTGTGATTCACCCACAGGTTTCAAACTTTCAGGAACTAGATCAGAAACTACAGCTGCTCGTCGATTGGGTTCATCATCCTTGGAAACAATAGCGGATAATTCTAAAGGTTGATCTGTTGGATCATCTTGCCAACCCATGGCAGCTAGAGCTGCAGCAATGGCAGGATCAACAAGGTCGGCATTATCTACCTCCACATCTTCCTCTTCACCTTCATCGTCTAAACTAAGTGCTTCAGAAAGCACAAGTGGTGGCTGCACACCCCGTCGTACTGCTCGACTCTCCATTATTAATGCAGACGCCTCCTCTTGACGCTGGGAGACTATAGTTTTGCAGTGAAATTCAAAATCCTTGATTTAGTACCACTTCACATGGACATGATGACTTGTGGATCAAGCCATCGACTATGGAATATCGAGGCTTTTGAAAATATTCAACGATATACGAATACACAGTCACTGAAACTTCAGACCTTCAATCTAAGCACAATGAAGACTCTATTCAGACCTGCAATAAATCAAACTTAATTCAAAAGGTCGTAACATATCAAAAAAAAGGTGTTGAGAAAGCCACATTTAAAAATAAGTATGTCGAACATGATTTTACACCGACGGAGTGATTACCTGCCTGGAGATCTTGGACCTGCTGCTCTAGAATCTTGGCCTCACGTAGAACCTCCCGAGCCTCGTCAGTACGGCCTTCCCGTTTCAGAGCTAGAGCCTGCCTCTTTAGACCAAGTATCTCCTGATTCAGGGCAGCTTTCTTGACTGAATTGTCCTTTGTCACTATTGTAACAGTTTCATGTGAAGAAGTTGACTCATCCCCGAAACCCATCGCTCGAAGTTGGGCCATCATTTCTGGGTCATGCATATCTTCCTCTGTAACCTCTACTACTTCTTCACTCTCCTCCACTTTATCGTCATTGACATCAAGAGCAGGTACTGAAACTTGTGCGGGAGGTTGCAGAGGAGTTTGTACAGTACTGGAAGGAGTCGTTAAGCTTTCTTGCTTCTCTAATTGTTGTTCAAGCATTTTAGCTTCGCCAAGTGCAGCTCGTGCTTCAGCAATCTTACCTTCTCGCTTAAAACCAAGTGCCTTTCTTTTCAGAGCTAAAATTTGTTCTTTCAGAGTAGGTTCAATAGATTGAGTGGATTTAGAAACTTTAGGCTGGATCTTGGATTTTCGTTCCAAGCCAGCTCCTTCTTCCTCCCAACCCATGGCCCTTAAAGCAGCAACCATTTCTGGGTCATGCAAGTCATCGTCGTCCACCTGTATTCAGAACGAGATGCAGATCACAAACTTGCTGGATATTACAGACTCCAAGGTTCACAAAGTGTTTGCATAAAATAACTGGGATTGTGAACCATGAAAGTGACAAATGCCTCCAAAACTACAAGACTTGTTACCAAACATTGCAATTCCACACTGTTATTTGTCCATTGCGTAGAACCCATCCGTAACAGGACGTGCCGAAGTATACAGCATAAGCAAGCAACATACCTCCACATGCGCATCGCCATCATCATCAACAAAACTGGAGAAAAGGCTAAAGTCCTCAGGGATAGATTGAGAGGTCCCTCCTTTGCCAGCGTTTCCTTTCAGTTTCTCTTCCTTTTCAAGACCGCGAATCAGGGCAACTAAATCATCATCGTCTGAGGCTTCATCATCTCCCTCTCCTTGACATAGCACGGCCATTTCCTCGGCTTGTTTCTCCAGTAGCTTTGCCTTCCTGAGCTCCTCTTTTGCCTCTATCATATTTCCTTCTCTCTTAAAAACCAGGGCTTGCCTCCTATGAGCCAAAATTTGCGCGGACATTGTCGCGCCTGCTCCTAAGATAGAACATAATTCTTAGACACAGTACCGTCACATATTGAAAGCAGAAATAACAAATGAACATAGTACGACCCGATACCGTTGATAGTCAGGCAAATACTTGACTAGTAGATTTTCCCAAGAGACAACGTAAATTTCGGGACGTTGAGAAACCTAAATGCTACTGAAGGGTTGAACCCGTTTTAGACTTCATCAGTCACCTTTGCGGACGACTAAGCCGAAGCAAGCACCGCAAAGCAGGTCAATAAAAAGAGAAGTTATTAAATCAACCTGGAGCTGTACTAGTTGCTGGTCGCCCTAACTTAGGATGAACTTCAGCAGTCAACTCTGCGAGGAGCTGCTCCTCAGTTTTGGGAACTGGTTTTTTCTCAGCCTCCCGTATCTCTTTGTCGCTCCATCCTAAAGCCTTCAAATCATGGAGGAAGTCATCTTTTTCAGAAGCTGGCACTTTCTCCTTAACCTGATCTTGAGATGCAGCTCTTCGCTTCTTCAGGTTGTCACCAAGTTCAGATTCCTTTCTGCTAAACGAGCTCAGTTCAGGGTCTTCTCTGCTTGGGCTTGTTTTACTATGTTGACCTAAAAATTGACTGCTTGAACCAGCAGATATCCTCCTTTGATGCCTGATTTCTTTTTCTCTAGCCTCTGCCTGTCGTTCAAGTTCCTTCGCTCTCTTGAAAGCTTTCAGTGCGTCTGCATCTTTTCCCTGTTTCTTTAACGCACTGTATCTCTTTTTCTCCTCTTGGGCTTGCTCATGCAATCTTGCTGGGGAAACTGGGGCATTTTCCTAAGAATTGAAAAAGGTAAGACTAAGGCGATGAAAGTCATATGCACAGCTTTGCAAAAGGAGAGAGTAAGTCAAGTCTCTCCGATCTATTTGAAAAATATACTTCACTCGAACGCCTCATTAACAGACGCGGACTGGTTGCCTCTTTTCCATCAAATACAACCTGCAAAGTCTAAAAAACAAGGCACCTGAGTGGGTGAAGCAAGCTCGTGTTCATCGCTATCATTGTCTGCCACTCTGGCTAAGATGCTCTCAACATCTACATCCCCTTGTGACTTTCCATCGGAACCTAGTATATGCTTCAGCAATGCCTCGGTGCCGTCATCTTTGGTGCTTGCCTTGGTAACTCCTGCAGTGAGAAACACGAAAAGACATCAGCATTTACTGTTGATACAAATGTATTGGATCTCGATCACACTTCAAACATGACTATCTGGAGAAGAACAGCAAACCTGGTTAGAAAAATTTCAGGGACACAACACACACCTCTCGGAGTCTTGCTTTTCGTCTGTCGCTCAAGTTTAACAGCATCCTCAATTTTCTTACAAGGTTCACAAACACGCGCTGGAGCGTCACCTTGGCCTCGCAAATACTGTCGACTCAACGTACAATTGTTGCAGAACAGACCGCCACATCTGCGACAATGGTGCTACAAACCCGACCTCAACGTCAAAATCTGTACAATTAATCACCTGGATTACAGAATCTGCTGATCAACTTTGGCACAATTGGCCAGATTAAGTAATGCTCTCATGAATATTGCTTCACTCCATACCACAAAGCCAAGCAGCTGTCTCCAGAGTATTACCACTCGGCAAAGCCACAAACATTATCTGTCAATTTAAACTGGAAGATAGACAAGAAACCAAAAATGCTCATGTGACTATCTTCACATGAATCCTCATAACCACTGCTAATCGTCAATGCTACATCTTTTAATATCCAACTAAAGTTCAAAAGAAATTGCAAGACAAGGTGAATCGAGCATACTTTGCGATTGAAGAAAGTAAAGGTAGCGCCACATCCTTCACAGTTGGGGGCGTCCGGAGTCCAATCCTTCCCTTTCTCATAGGGCTTCGGCGGCAGCCCCATCTTCTCCAATCCCATAACTTTCCTCCCTCATGCACCTATGGAATTTACAGCCCTAAAACTAAACATGAGATACACAATCCCTCGTCAATTTTTTGCACACAAACCCTAAATATCAGAAAAGACTAAGTCCGCCTCCAAAGCCATTGCCCCTTCACATCAACCAATTCAATCTCCAATATTGAACGAACAAAATCTCCCCTCAGTGACACACATCTAATCATATTATCACTGCACAATTCAACCAACTCACCCACTTCCAACTCCACGGTGATCGAAAAAAGCCTTTATCGCAACACACCGGTCACGGTACCCACTCAGAAGAAAAATCAACCCTTGAAAACCTTTAAAAAAAAAGCTCTGAACTAATTTAACTCGCGCAAGTCACCACGGATGCATAGAAAAAGAGGCGACCAGATCCTGCCTACTAATTGAACGTGGGATCAAACTGGGATAGCTTCAGAAGCCCTCGGAACTACACCCACAATTCCACCCGAACTTTAACGAACCGTAAACTACGAATGATTTGCAATACCAAACGTTACACGAAACAGAACCAGAGCTCATAAGGATAGATCCGTCGCATCCACTTGCAGAGAATCCCTACGTGGACCAAATGGCATACACACAATGCTTCTCCCATCAAACTTGTGCTCCAAAATTCATCACAGGATCACCATCGGTGACCAATACAACCCCAGCGCACCTGGATTGAGAAAAACTCCTACAATCTACTGTGAAAAACTTTCAAAAAACTGAGTAATCGGACAAGCTGTGAGGCATCAGGCGAGGCGAGGCCACGAAGAAAGGGAGCTTCAAGGCCACCTAGGTCTGGTACCGAACGCGATATACAATATCTGCTGGGGCCCAACCCTTGTCTCCCTTGTGATGTGAGCGTGGGCAAGAAGGAACGCCCACCATAGCCGTCGTAATTCATCAAAAGACCAATGTTAACTTCGAATTTGAGAACCAACACAAATTTTGTTTGAATTCGTCATATACCCAGCCGCTTGATTGCCGATCGACTTCCATGGTTTCATCACGTTAAAGTCCCCATTTTTGTGGTTAATTCGCTCAGTGGGCGATCTCAACGCTGCCACATGAAGTCCATTCTTTGTGGAAGGAGAGATGCATTCATGAGGGATCAGCAACACATGTGAGTGTTGTTGATAAAAACACTCACATGTGCTCTGTTGTTGATAAAAACACTCACATGTGCTCTGCTTCTTCTGCTCATGACTGCATTCTTTCTCAAGCGTAAACCTTGAAGGCGCCCAACAACCCATCCGCTCCTCAACTACTACGTGTTGTTTTTGTCGTGTCAATTTTTTGAGAGATGGGAAAAAAGAAGAGTAATCTAGAAAAAACCCCAAGCGTGCGAACGAGGTGTGCTATGCCTTTTATCCTGGAGATATGTGGAACTCGAAGCTGCAATGAGCATATCTGTCGGCATTTCATCTCCCAGTTGAGTGACCCTCTTCCGATTTCTTGACAAAGGAAACTGTGTTGGATCTATAAACATTTAGTGCGTTTGTTCAGGCACTGGGTGTTTCATTGCCTTCATGGAGCGCTGATTGAACACTTTTCTAGTGCTTGAGTTTGTTAAAAATGAAAACGAAATGTTTTAAGATGATGATTTTAGCACATCGCTTTCTATTGTTGACCGTGGTGACGCTATCTTGCACTCTACGGATGAACATTTCACAATAAATTAGCATGTTTGATTTTGAAAAGGTGAGCAAGTAATGAAGGTTTTAATATATTTGTGATAAGAAGGGTCTTCACCTATCCAAGGTCATACGTTTGAATTTAAGTATTATCAAAGGATTGAGCATTTATGTTTTGTAATAATATGTTACATTTATGCTAAATCATATTATTGATAATATATATCTTATCTTGAGGTTATTATTTTGGTCTAGGTAATCTAAAGAATTTGTACATGTGATAAATTTTTTATTTAAATAAATCATTATGACAAATATTTATTTTATGTGCATAAATTTATAGGTAATTTTTCTTTAGTTGAGGTTGTGGGTGTTAGTGGCTACTTGCAACTTTTTTAGGTCATAAAATCCTAGCTATGTACAAAAGAATAGGAAAATGTAATTTCTTATTTGTAGCACAAGCTAAATGTTTATAGACAATATGAAACACTTTTGCTTCATCTAAATGTGCAAATTAAGGGGAAAGATTGGTTTATTAAAATTAACATATTAATAAATTAAATTATACAAATTATAAAAATATAAAACCTAATGCTTAATTTTGATTATTTATACTATATTTTTATTAAAAAATTATAATTTTTGTTACTCTAGTTTTTTATTTAGCAAGCATTTCAAATTATGTCTTTTTGAATTATAATCTATAAAAACTAAAAGTAGTAGTATCTAAATAAAAAATTATGATTTAGAAGAAGATTAAGATTTTAAGAATGATTGAATTTTAAAAAATTAAAAATTAAAAATTAAAAAATTAAAAAAATACCAATGATGGAATAGAGCATAATACATGGCCATTGCTTGAAATAATAGAGCATTATCTATTAAAAAGTTTAAAATAATTATATATATATATATATATATATATATACAAAAAAGTAAGTCAAGATTGCCTTAATTTTTGGCTTAACATGATCAAGGTTAAATAAAGTAATTTAGTTGAAATCTAATAAGTATCATACATCTCTAAAAGATAAGTTTAAAAGAAATATTTGCAAAAGAATACATAAAAAGATTTTAGGGTTTATAGCTACACAATTTAAACATCATTGAAGTTGATAGAAACATTATAAAATAAGAAATTCTTTAATTTTTTTAAAAAAAAATTTACTATGGTTTTTTAATATTCAAAAAGTAAGATTTTGAATATTTTTTAAAAATATTATTAATATTAATAAAAAAAATATATGTATACAATAATTTTGATTATGAATGTAAAATTTGATAAAATATTATTTTTTCTAAAAGATGACTCTTTAGAAATAGCTAAAAAACGTCTCTACAATTGAATCTATATAAAATATAGGTAGAATATGGATCTTGTAAGAATATAATATTAACTCTAATTGATTTGATATTCATTCCAAAACAAAACAAAAAACAAAAATTCAATAAAATATTAATTTAAATATTCAACCAAATGATTTAAGAATAATAAATATAATCTATCACAAGTAATATTAGAATTTTATAAACTTGCTTTGAGGTTAGGAATTATCTATTAAAGTAGCATATTCTATTGTAGAGAAGAAAATGACCATTTTGATTGAAAAAAACTTTATATGAAGAAGATGAAAATTCTACTTAAATAGAAAGAAAAAAAAGAATAGAAACTTATCACAACTTTAAAATCAATAGAAAATATAATCCTATGGAGTCAATATAGAATGTAGCAAGAAGCAAATAAATTGTTGCATTGTATAGAAGAATAGATAAAAGTAGAAAAAAAATGCTTAAAACAATTATTAGGCATAAAACAATAGTGTAAATCTTTAAAGTAGGATGTTATGTTTTTTAAAATAGATTTTAGTATAGAATAAATAATATATGTTGTTTCTCTTTCTTCTTTAAAGTCATCCTTGTCTTATACTTTGGCCTAAAAATTAGTAAGAATAAGAAAGCAACTCTTAATGGATGTACAAGCATCTAATATTGTTAAAAAGTTATCACATTCAAAATTCAAGCTCCAAAAAAAGTTAAGACAAGAATGTTTCTTGATTTTATACATTTTTTATAATAGGAAAAAAAATAGATATAATTTTAAGGCTTATAAATAATAATACATATTTATTAATAAGATTTTTTTTGTTTAAGACAAACACATAAATAAAATAAAATAAAATAAAAATCAACTAATAATTAAGTTACATTCTATATATAATATTCTAGATTATTTTAATCTAGTTATAAAAAGTTTATCTAAAATATAAAGTTGCATACTATAATATCTAAGTTTTACATAAATTAACAAAAATCAGTAAGTCTATAATATTTCTAAGTTACACAAACATTATAGTAAATTTTATTAATATGTAAAAAATCACTACTTTGTTGAAAACTCTCTTTAAATTAAAAACAAATTTCCAAATGACAAACAATTTTTTGGTACAAAGAAATCACATCAAATTAAAATACCAATATTCTAAAAACTTATATATAGTGTGAAGAATCTTCATAATTAGTCGTGTCATCTTAACTTCTTAATTTTGAGTTTTTTTACTTTATATTAAACAATATAGAATACTGAACAATATTAAACAATATAAAACACTATTAAACAATATATTTCACTAGGATATTATTTAAGAAATCCCGTTGGGCCACTACAAAACACCCTACCAAGCAAGATTAATCTATAATAACATTAATTAATATGTATAAAATGAAGAATTAAATCTCTTATATCCAAAAATGGTAATATTTTTCTGTTAATGAGATGGATATTGAAAAAAATATGAATGCACTCCAACTTACAAACATTGTAAACGTTTTATACTATACCCATCCAACCAATTAAATAATAACATAGATGACTATAAGACTGACATTATATTTATAATTACAATAAAATTTATGTGGTATATTTCAAAAGATTTAAGAGATTTTTTTTAGTTTGAAAAATTGTGGGAAAAAAAATGAAATATAAATCTTTAGATAATTCTATTTTATTCTAAACTAGCTTTTATGTTTAGTTAGAAAATTAAAACTAACCAAACCTTAGGTCTTAAAAAGAAAAGCTTACAGAATGAACAACGACACAGTAAAAAATCATCAAAAAATACAGTTTGTTAATACAAAACAATAATAGTAAAAATAATAGTACGTAAAATATTGAAAATAAATTAATAACTATCAATTGAGGAAATACCAATGTGAAAAATCATCATAAATAAGATCGTAAACAACTACAAAAGTACACTAACACAATGATCAAAATCCTATGACACTGGTAGATAGGTAAGAGTATTCAGAGGAAACCAAAGTAAACCATTAACATACACATTCCAAATTCTAATGAGTTGTGCACAGAAAATAAACAAGAATATGTTCAACTTAGGCAATGACAGACCAGAAGGCATCTATATTGCATAAATAAATCATTTGTAATGTACAAGTTGGTCTTTACTGTACCAACTTCTACTACTTTCTAATGTGAATCTTTTACCATGAATATGATTTCATGAATTATGCTTCTTCTTTGTTCTTACACAAGTTTTTATTTTATAAAAATGTAAATTCAACCAAAATACATTTAAGACGCTCATTAATCTTGTTGTTACTTCATTTTATATTTTAGAACTATCTCAATGAAAAGGGAAATATTATTAATAAAAGACCCAAAAAAAAAAAAAAAAAAAAAACAAATCATTGTGTTAGATTCTTATTCCATGAAATGTGGTAACACAAAAGTGGAGAAGAAAAAGAATATTCTGCAAGATGAAGTGAATTTGTACACAAGTTACTGGAAAGGATTTTGATAGGAATGAAATGATTTAGCAATTTCATTGTATGTACAATCTTTCTCATTTTTTAAAACATCCTTAATCTTCAGCTAAAAACTTGAATTCCAATGACTACTAAGATGTTAAAAAAACAGTTTCATGCATAAACCAATGAAGTTGGAGAGTTCATACTGAGCTAGTAAGACTAGTGACTGATTAAATATTCCCTTAAGCCTGGATACTGAAACAGTATACAACCATTGCTTTTGAGTCCACACAAAATTGTGGATGCACAAGAGTGTGAAACTCAAGTTGATATGTGGAGCCCTAATAATGTTGTAATTATGGGCAGGCCCCGAATATTAAGTTAGAGAAGCTTTTAGCAGAGGTTTATGAGCCATGAATGCAGTCTCTCACACTGAGTTGAGCCTTTTGAGGACCTTTGATGGAGGATGGGCATGGAATTCCACAGGAGAACCACAGAACCCAGGAGCCATTTGCCATTGAAAATGTGTACTATATATATATATATATATATATATTCATATTCATATAGGTATAGTATGTAAAAATTAAAAAATTGAATGCAAATACTTGCTGTGAACACCATGTGTCAACTCGACAGCAAAAGCACATCATCATCAAATCCTGCAACACCCCAAAAGCAGCAAGAAATGGCTGCCTGGCAATTAGTGCTTGTGATTAATTAAATGATGGGTGAAGTGGCGGTATTACAAGGTTTGCCATCATCATGTTCTTGAAATTTTTATTATAAAGATTTAAATGATTATTTTCTTGAAAAATATCATGTTTTTGACAATGCCACTTGTTGTAAGTGAGATTTTGCTTGTGATTATATATTTTTTATTTTAGGGTTTTTAATGTGATATTCTTTAGAATCAAGCTTAATTAAAATATTTTTTCGTATATATATATATTTATCTATTTATTTATTTAGAGGAATATTAAGTCAATCTTTCTAAATCTAAAATTGACCTACCACACTGGCAATAAAAATACTTAAAGTCTCAAACATCCAAGGCTCTTCTTTGTTGCCATAAACAATATCTACTAAGTACTGGTGTTTTACAAGTAGGATGACGTCTAAAGTTTTTTTTGCTTCAATTAAAAATATATATACTTTATTTGGAGAACCTCTAATACAAAGAAATTGGAGCCGCCCAAAACAAGCTTTGAAGTAACTTCAATTTGCAAAGTTATGTAATTGGTCAATTTCGTATTTATCATTTTTTTATTCATGTTATAATTTAATAGCTTAAATGCTTTTAAGCAGAGCAATAACTTTTTTTTAATATACAATGCATATTACACACAAAATTAACATAATTTAAAGTGTAAACTTTAAATTAAATGAATTGATCATTTAAACAATTGACTCTTTAATCTATTCTTATTTTTTAAAATATATATATATATATATATATATATAATTTTAGTTTTTATAATTTTAATAAATCAACTTTTAATATAGAAATAATAATATAAAAGAGCTTATGGAATTTAAATTAAAGGTAAAAAATATTATATTCTCTTTAATAATATATATATATATATATATATTAAAAACTTACTAGGTACTTATTCCTTTATATATTATGTAGATACCTCTTTTCTCTTTCTCTCCCCCACTCCTCTATTGTGCTACACCAACAATGTACAATTGCTACAAGTTTTTTAATAAGTTGGATACTAATCAGGTTTAAAAGTACAAAAAAAACAATATGAATATAACAACAATGTACAATACAAGAATATTAGCAATTAAAAGCTAAAAAAGTAAATAAATAAAAAATGTATCTACATAGCAGGTTTGCTAATTAGTCACTTTTTATTATTATTATTATTATTATTTTCTTTGATTAGATTTTGTGTTGCTAATATTATTGTATTCTTGATTTTTGTTGTCTATATACCTTTTCAACTTCATTAATGTCCAATTTATCAAAAGTATTATATTAATGGTATATTATTAGTATATCCTAGAGAGAGAAGATTTGTCTATGCATTAAAAGGATAAAAGAAGATATTTACCTAGTGGTGCCCAACAACAACATAATTTTGTGACAACACAAGTATAGATAGTCCAGTATTACTTCAATTTTAGATGATTATAAATTATATTTAGATTTTTTTGGTCACTTGACATCTTTAAAAGTATTAATTGATTAGACATCCTACCATCTTTATTAAAAATATAATTTCTTAGATTTATTCTAATATCAAAGAAATTAGAATCTTAAGAAAATATAGAAAGATGACTTTGAAGTTTTTTTAATAAATATTTTTATCTTTTCTCAGACATAATGAAAATCCAAAAAAAACTATAAGTTAGAAAGTAAAATATAATAATAAAAGAAAGAAATTTTAGATCCCTATAAAATATTCTAATTATAAATAATTTTAAATACGAAATACAATATTTATGTATAATATAACTGAAATATATTAGATTTATTTTTTTAAATAGATTAAATTTTTTTTGTAAGAAATTGTTTTTTTGCATTTATAAAGAATAAATAAATACAAGATTTACATTTTCTTTATTAATTATATTATAATTAAATAAATAAATAATATAAAAAAATTAGAGTTTACAATTTATTATTTTATGTAGACATGTTTAAAAAAAATATAATAAATATTTCATTCTGAAAACAGATTTAAAAGATACTGAATATTTTATATTATAAGATAGCTATAGGAATAAAGTGAAATAATTTTTTATTATAAAAATATAAAAGATTATAAATAAAATAAATGATTTTTTAAACATGAAATTTACTTATTTATTTGAGATTTTTTTAAAAAATTCTCTTATTTGATCTAAACTTGAATCCATCACTACAAGCTCCATTGGTTTTTTTATGGAAATTGTGTTATTTTCTAATGTTCAAATAAAAGCATGATATTAGTAGTGGTAATTAGTCCTTTGTGTTAACTATTAGAATTTAGTTTTACTTCTTCTTCTTTTGAAAATGCTTCTTATAAAAATTTAAGATAATTTACTTCCGACACATCTATAAGTATTTAAATTTTTTTATTTTTTGTTTATTTAACTCTAACATATTAATGTCATTGGATCTAATATACATTATTTATATTCTAATTCTACTACGATTCTTTTTAGTCTTATAATTCAACATTCCCTGTTTATTTATTTATTCATAATTGTTCTCATGTGACACCAGGTTTTATTAACAACCTTGTATATGGGCATCATTTTATCAAATTATGTTGTTTGATTAGATATTTTCAACTGTTTTATTTTCATTTTGAAGAAAATTTTAATTTCATGTGATTCTTATTTAATACTATTGTCTACTGGAATTAATGAAAATAATCTAGTTTAGGATGTTTTTACCCTTGCAAGTATGCACATTTATGATTTTTTACATGACAGGATGTGTTTCATTATAGTTTCAAACAATGTCACATGACACAGTGCATCTAATTGTCATACTGCCTTAATCAAACAACTATCATTCAAACCACAAATTCATTATCATCCACAAAAACAAAGACATATCATTTACTGTGGACATCACTTCAAAGCATTTCAAATTGAGTTAAGCTAATTAAAAAAAAAAAAAAAAAAAAAAAAAAAAAAACGACCATGAGATGAAATTTCAAAACCATGAAACAAATATAAGCACGCGCACACCCATACAATCATCCACACTTCAACTAAAAGGACGCATTACTTCAATATACATTTTCATTACAAACAATTGATTTTACACTTATTAAGTACAACACTTGGGAGCTAGAATTTGGTGCACCATTGCCTCAAAACACCACCAAAGAGCACGTTAGATGCTATTTCAGAACATGACCTTCTATCGATATATACTGTTATATATATATATATATATATATATGCATATATACATATAGATATAAAAATACATGCACACACACACAAACGAACAGGTAGAAATAAGTTGTTTAATCTGGTTAAGGAAGGGCCAGAAATACAGAGTGGAGAGCAGGAATTAACACCAGTCAGCGAGAACGTCTCCCTAATCTCATCAATCTCGGCAGACCACACACGCTCTAATCCCCACTACTAGCACTGATCACTGCATCGAGCCACACGGTGCACGGCGGGCTGGTGGGCAGGTGAACGATCGATCGATCGATCCATGGATCAGACCCGTCGACGATGCCCAGACGGTCCCCTGGCAGAGGCAGCCACCGCTGCGATCAAGCTGCTGAGAATAGCGCCACCATCCCCCGGCCCAGGTGCATCGAAGCATCCACTCCCTCATCACGCTCCGATTCTCTTGCAGTCCGTGTAAAAATACCCGACGATCGTCCGACTCGATGTCCGTGTAAAAATACCCCGCCCATCGTACCTCCACTGCCTCCCCCGATCCATCCCCAGCTCGCTTTGGAGCGAATCGTCTGGTGTGCCCATCGTCGGCGAGTTTTTCTCCCAGCACGATGCGTTTAATCCGTTAGGTGGGTTCCATGTTGCTGGTCTCAGCTCCTTGCTTAGACGTGCGGGTTTGTGTGCAGGAGCCAAGCGTGTCGCAGTCCCTCGTTCAAAGTCTTTAGACTGGTGGACTGTGCAGTGGAGAGTGTCGAAGTAGGACCGGCTTCTGGATTCTGGTCTGATGGTTGTCGGAATGTGAGCGTTTCGTTGTGCTTAAATGAGTTTTCGATTATCGAGTTCCCGGTGGAGATCGTTTGATGAACTGGAGTGAAGCGACGTGCTAGCAATGCCAGTGCCCATATGTCCCTGCAGTATCCGTGTCCGATCCAACTACTCCTAGAAGCAGAGGAGATAGTTGTAATTACTGTAGACGAGGGTGTCTAGAGGACAAGAACAAGCTTGAGGGATGGTGAGTTGATTGTGTTCAGAGGCTTGAGGAAGCGACTGTCACGGAGATTGCGAAGGTGCTTGCGGTTTTAGGTTTTGTGGTAGCTGCTTGGTGACTTCCACATCTGGACTTGCGGAGGCTTTGGGTTCAGCGTAGAGTGTGATACTCTCAGTGGCCCACGTAACCAGAGTTGTAAGCGCGCGGTCGTTATCGCAATGGAATCCATCGTCGCAAGCTGTTAGACATTTGAAATCTGGTTCTAGCTCAGAAAGGGACTGAACAGAATGGCTGTCCCCACACCACCGGAGCTGATAGCATTGTCCATCCCGCGGTTCTCGACGTTTCGACACTCCCTGATACCACTGCCTGCTAGTATCAAGCAAGAGCTCAGAGATCGTAGTCCAAAATCTGTAATTTCCGACATGCGCTTTATTAGTCCAGGATCGTCGTCTTCAAGTAGCGCCGAGCGTCGTACTATCTCAGATCTGCCAAACTCCATCAAGAGCCAACCTGGGCGTGGGCGAAGTCTCCGCCTCTCCGACGAAGCCGACCCTGATCCCATTTCTCAAGAGCTTGGTAAGGTAAGTAATAGAACGAAGCCTTGCGATAAATGTGGCAGTAAATTTGCGGACATCTATGTACCAGCTCATTTTTCTGAGAAATTCACATGTTTGTGCAACAGCCTGGGAATTCCTTACCACTAGTGTCAATGGTAAAAGATACATCACATGTGTCGGCACTGGAAACTCCCAATTCAGCTGTTCTTATTGCAAACAAGCGAGGGGGTGACAAGTCGAAAACCAGAGTCCCTTCTGCTACGACTGTGAAAGCGACTGTGGCGTCGTCATTGCCAACAGCCCTAATCGTCTTAGCCGAACGCGCCGGCAGTGGTCCCAGAACTGTTCAGAGCCCTAGCCCACGTTCTTCAGCTGGGCTACGGGATGATCTAAACTCCAGGGCAACAGATCGTGCAATCTGGACAAGACCAACTCGAGATGTAAACGCAAATGGCAGAAGATCCTATCGAACGCCCACTGTAGCATCAAAGTCTGCTGCTGAAGTTGAGGATCGCGCCTATCAACTCAGTGAATCGTCAGATTCATCGAGGTCTTCCATCAGACCTAACAAAACAAAATCCGAAACCGAACCTCAACCTAGAAATCTTAAAATCCGGCCCACATTTTCCGGGGAGCTTACTTGGAATGGGAAAATGCTAGAAAGAGTAGATTCTACTAAGAGGAGGTCTGTAGGTCAAGGTGTAGCTGTCAACCGTCCTGCAACTTCCTCTCCAGGCTGCCAAGAGAAACCGAGGGCAGGTTCCAGAAACCATACCCATAATGGGTCCTCCATAAGTCCGACAGTTAAGAAAAGGGAGGAATCTGTCAGCCCTGCAACCTCCACAGGTATAGGATTGCACACCGACTATTGCGAAATCTTTCAGTGTTAAGAACACTTGTTTATTTGTTGTGTAACTTTGAGATCTTAAGTGCGGCTATATGGCGACATGCAGATGTACCAGTGCGGCTCCGCACTCAGCGCCCATTCTTGTCTGGTCCGATCGTGGGGAGTATGATTCCAAAGCCTCCTCCATCCAAATGGGACGACGCTGAGAAATGGATCGTAAGCCCTGGTCGCAGCGAGAACCCGGCGAAGCCTCACTACCGGTCGTTGCAAAGCCTTTTGACAAGTAAGCATAGTCTCTTAGAGGATGGTCTGGTGACATGCTTCACAAGCATATCTAACAGTAAGATATGATAATGAATGAAATGCAAATAGAAAATGAAATCAAGAAATGTACCTCCTTTGTGCCTTCGCATGTGAAGATTTATGTTATGTTGTTGACAGTCGTATTTTGATTGTAGCAGGCAGAAGACATTCAATTACAATCGGGCAGAGTTTACGCTCAAAGCATGGAACGGGTAGTCCCGACTCTGCAGGCCCTACAAGGGATAGCGCATATCCGCAATTTAAGAATGCATTTCCAAATGCTGGCGAAGTCGAAGGTGGTACGAAGCACACCTCTTCTCAAAAGAAGCAATCTAAAGCGCTGTTCGGTGACTTTACAAGAAGGTTTGATCCATCTCCGAAAAATACTCGCGCACTCGACCGTAAACAAGAACATGTGAGGAGAGAATCTGGTGGTCAGGGAGGAGAGTCGTCTTCGAGAGACACTCAAATCAAAGCCCCTGTAAATGACAAGCTTACGGAGTTGAACTTGGAGATGCCTTCTTCAGCACATAAACCGGTGTCAAGCGAAGAGCCTTCTATTGTTAAACTGGAAATTTCACATTCGGCATCAAAGGTATCACTAGACGGCAAATCTACGACGCATTCACATTCAGCTTCAATGAGAGAGCCCAGCGCAGCGTCCGTGGCAGCAGAGTCTATCATAAATCGTAACCCAGCAAGCTGCAAGGGCATTTCCACCCAGATAATTCCCGGCGAAGGCCACAAGAATCCAATCTCTTCATCATCCGTAAGCGGGTTTACAATCTCCCCCACTCGGCACAATACCCCTGCAGGAAGGCGAGCATCTTCGCTCGGAACCATTCCCGGGTTAATTGATGTGCTTGAGCTTCAGACCGGCCACATAGCGAAACTGGAGCTAAGAAAACTAACTGGTGACGATCAACCTACTCTAGACAGAGGACATGCCTGGACTACTCGCGAGGAGGAAGAACTCGAGACCGCTGCAAGTTTGCGTGAAGACCCAGAAGTCCTTGAGAGAGACCAGTTGACTGCCAAAGCTGCCACATGGGAAGACGCTGAACAAGAAAAATGCTTAGCCAGGTTACTCTCCATTCCTTCCGGTTATGCTTCAAGCCCCTTAGTCTATTGATAAAGCAGCCAACTCTTATGAATTGTTGACTAAATCGCCTCAAATTGGCAGGTACAAGGAGGCTAAGATTAAGGTTTGGGAAGAGCTCCAAAGAGCCCAAGCTGAAGCCGAGATGAAGAGTACAGAGGTACAGCCTACTTCATAAGCTAACTGCTGCATTGAACTCCTCGGACACACATTGAAATTCTAACATGAATCTAACCTTACAGGTAAAGGTTGAGAAGATACTCGCCCATGCCACCGAGAAGATGAAAGCCAGACTGGCGTTTGCAGCCAAAAAGGCCGCTGAAATGAGAGCCGCTGCCAAAGTAGCCCATAACGATCGGGCTTCCAAAGCAGCAGAGAGGGCGGAGCTGATGCGCAAAACGGGCAGGTATTCTCCAAGCCCTCTGTCCGCCCTCCGGTGCTGCTTCCGAGGTTCCATGACAACCCCTTCCACATTGTAAAACTATTGTCAGTGGATCGTCAACGCCTCAGTTTTCTCCTGCAACCTCTTACCACTATTCTGGTCATAATTCTGAGATGAATCTGGCCATATAATGGACAATGTGAGAGTTGGGCGCCAGCACATAGCCATCCATCCATTTTATTGCTTGTTCTCATATAGGATGACATCTTGAAGTGAGGATCGGTCAATTGTGAGAAGGTTATGAGTTGAAACCTTCCCGATTGCGGTGCTCTTCAGCATATGGTCCTCACAAGGTCGTTTACCTTCAGTTTAGTACCTAGTAGCAGTTCATTTAATTCTACCAATGTAGAGTCATTCTATAACAAATGTACTTTTGCCTCCAACTTATACATGTAATCCCTACTAGCACCTGCATTGATCCTTGTAATTTGTGATTTCATAATTAGTATCGCTCTTGTGCAAATGGCATGTAAAGATGGGGATGGGAATAAAATAAGGATTTCAAATAGTCCTGTAATGGGCCGTGCAATAGGTACAGGAGAGTAACATGCCTGCTGAATCACATTTCGTAGCATTTCTACTTTGAAGTGATGTTCTGCAGCAGAACGTAAGATTCTGTTCAGTCTTGTAAATTACACCTGCCTCGAGGGCCACACAGGCCGAAATTTATCCATTGTTGTCGTAACTGGCTTCGACATGGGGTGATGGTTGTGAATACCTGCTGGTAGTTGATTGAAAGGATTCCACCGATCAAACACAAGTCGGCCTCCACGACCAATTCTACCGGGAAAGGGAAATGGTACTGGTCTAGAGTTTTCATCTGTGAACATTATCCCTGCACTTTCTAATTTCCCGAAACTTAAAGGCTTTGTGAATAAGAGCGTAGGTTCCAGATGTTCCAACGCCTTTACCTGCAAAGCAAGGGAAGTAGAATAAATAGTGATTCTCTACACATGTTGTGGAGGAGGTGCACACTCCAGAAATCAGAGCAGCAGTTCAGAGATGAACACGTATTGCTTGAACGCGTTTCCTGAATGAATCTCGTAAATGCAACCTGCAATGTTGCTTCATTAAGATAATCACAGTTGATGATATTCTTACAGGGAGAATGTGAACTTACCCCGCCTTTCCAACGACTACGTGCAGGGGGGAATCTTGGCCTTCGTCTTGGAATGCGAACTTCTCGTTCTTCGCCGATAGCGGTGCCATGATGATTCGGGATTGCCCGACCTCTTCCAATGAGATAATCTGCTCTAAACAAAACGCGATGCGCATCCTCGACACCACCAATCCTGTTGGACAGAGGACTTCCGTCCTCTTCCATCCTCCCCGCATCATGTTGTACAAACTGTGATGCACGCAGTAATTTACCCAAACATGTTACAGATATCAAAATTGATAATCCAACAACCTAACATTGAAAAGTTTGTATTCACAGAATTTACATAATCTGGGGCATTTCGTTAAGCCATACTTCAAGTAGACACATATGGTCCGTCCGATTTCTCAGAAAATGGAATACTCAATACGAAAGGAGACATCATAAGGAAGTGCTCAAGTTCAGAGCTTGAGTCAGGAAATAGAGGAAGCATGACCTACCGGTGCAACCTTCAACTGCAGCGCTATTCTTTGAATGTTGGCTTCGACCTGCACAAGCTCTCGCTTTTTCTTCTCCCTCTGAATAGTAGCGTTAAGATCATCAGCACTAAAGCACATCAAACATCGACGTGTTTACAAAACAATGCTCAATTGATAACATTTAGCACAATCTCAACATTTACAAGTTCAACACGGGGTCTACTATGAATAACCCGTGAGAATTCGATTGGTGAATCACAATTAGCTAGGATTTAACGAGGGACTAACACGGGTATATCAAAGAAGTGCTCAAAAACGCCATCAGGTGTTTATGGCAACATATCATGGGAAATGCATTGCAGGTTCCTAGAGAAAATTAGCACTTGGTAGCCATAATCATAGAATATTGATGTCAATCTAGCACAAGTTCAGCAACAGACATGCGATCACTTTTGAAGCTATACCTCCTGTATCAGACGCAAAATTTCTCTGGTCTGCTCTAAATGATGACGAACCTGGCCCAGCCAATCATATCCATACCACCAAGACGTGAGTCTTCTAGAAGAAGTTCCTGTATCAAGTTACCTTGGGAGTAATCTCATCACTATAATAAGTAGTACTAAAATCAAAAAGAACAGGCAACCCATCGACATCAAGCAGAAATCTACCACATATCTGTCCGTTGGCTAAAGTATGAGGTGTAGAACACGACATCTAAAAGGCCACAGATACTTCATCACTTTTCGAATGCAGGTACTAGCACCGCATCTGCTGCATAAAAATTCGCATTCCGAACATACTGAACCATTATTTTCCTGCCTCTGCCCTACAACCTACAGTGAAAATTATTCAATAAAAAATACCAGAGAATGGAACGCGATACAAACCTGGCGGAGCTTTTCATATGACTGTTTATCATTCTCACGTCTTTGCATCTGCGTGGCATGTAACTTGATACAGTCAAAATCATTCTGCCATATGTTGCGTTGACCTATACTCAATTTAATCATAAGTAAGGACTGTAAAACTTGATTTTTCATTCCGTGGTGAGTCTCAGAACTTTGACACTGCTCACTACGATTAAAAACACGGCTTTAGCAGAAACCACAACAAAAGAACTAAAAATGAGACCACCACAGAACATCTCGAGAGTGGGAAACTATGCAAATCCAAAACAAATATGTTGTTCAACGGGACAAGTACAGCCAGATGAAGTCCTTACACGCCGAGTATGCGGCCGGTGAATCTTCTCCCTGGGCCTGAACACGTTGAATGGACTTGGGTCGTTCACTGCAGGAGCAGGCTGTAAAACATGGAACACACTATTAATTATTGTAAGTTAGGCATGTTAAAACTAGCTGGTAAGTCATGTAGTACATGCGCAATAGTACATACTGATTAATCCAAGATTGAAGGGTGCACCGAAAATGAACCACGAAAGATATGTGGTAATGAAGTTAGGAACCATATTCAAAATGACAAAACTAAAAACTTCCCAACGAAACGTTTAATAACAACACATCAGCCTTAGAAGTAGCCGGATCCCAAAAAATTCTCTACAGTGAAATCTGCCTAAAAGAGAATTGATTTGAATATCTTGAAAGTAAGGCGCAAAAGTTTTTGACACTCCTAAACATAGCATGCAGGCCACATATTTATCAAATCATCATTCAAATCAAATTTTCAAAGGTTGAAACCTGTAAATTCATGTGAAGAAACAATTAAAATGATGATTGTTATCATGCCCGAATAAGTCACTTTAAAAACAACTCTAAACAAAAATCACAAGTCCCAAATAGTAACACATCTTACTTATAACTAATACCTTCCGTCTTTCAGAAGTTAAACTTTCTCTAGGTAGTAGCTCTCATAATGCGAGAATATCCAGTAAAGAAAATGAAATTACAGAATTGCAGATGTGGTCGGAACAAGGAGGAAAGTGCACCTGTAGACGCCGAAGAATGGGCTTCTGCAAGCATTCTCGCTGAGACAGCGAGCAACAAACCGTGTCAGATATCAGTGACAAATATGCTAAAATATGATATCCTAATCATGCTTCCTGGATAACATCATTTAACATATAGGTGTAGAAAACAAACAAGTATTGCACATACCAAAGTACTGACAGTGTGCTTTCATTTGATCCAGAAAAAATCATTCAAGCCCTAAAAGTTACTTAGCCTTCTATTGGTAACGTTAAGTACAAATCAAACACCCACGAGAACGATAAACAATAATGTCCCTTTGCAAGATGAATATGAAGCATCTGCACACCGGTTCGGTTTGATGTAAATCACATCGAGAAAATTCAATGAGTCAAGTACGAGGTGAAAGATCTTAACCTTTCTCTTCCAATGTTCGAACACAGCTCCAATCACAGAGTGCCAGTTTGATAGTCCTTCTAACACCTGCATTCGAGCTGCACCACTATTACTCCACATAGTTTGAAATTGAACCCGCTCAATGTAGGTTTGTTAATTCCAGAAGAGTTAACATAAGCCATCACCTACAACAAGTCAGTGTCCAATCATGACAGGATTGTAACAAATTAAGCAGCCCTTGATTCAAAGAGATTATCACAAAATTTATAGAAAATGTAGTTGGCAAGTGAGAAGACCTCATTTGCATCCTCCTTGCTGAGTACAACAGGTACGGGTACTCCATGCACAGGTCCTACAGACCCTGGTCTGTCCTTATCCCTCTGCGGCCTTCTGTGGTGATCAGCGATCTCCAACTTGTACAGCATCGTTTCTAACCTACATGAGAACAGCCACCAAATAATCGTTAGGGAAAAGATTGTAAAATTATGTACAAAATAAAATAAAATAAATAATAACATTAAAATCGACTAATGTGTGTCTGTTCCAGAAGCGCAACAAAGTCAGAAATATGAGATTAATAACCTGCAGGTAGAACTTATACACTCGTACTCCTTTGGTCACGTGCTAACTTTACAGGTAAGCAATATACAGGAGCACGATTGCCGCTCAAATCCAATGGTTTTATTTGTAATTTTCCTATTCTCATCGGTATGAACATGAACTCATCCTTCAAGCGATCATTAAGAAGAGCTAAAATGCCCGAAAACGAAGGGAAGGACAACATTAAAGCGAGGATATGAGGGGATTACTTTTCATCAGATATGACGTTGCATTCCGCGTTGAAATTGTCAAGCCAGTGCTCATCATCATCATCCAAGTCATATTCACAATATTGCGCATTCTCATTTCTGGCTGCGGAGACGAACATTGTTCATCCAAATAGCAAAGTGTCACGAATCATTCAGTAATAAATGTTTCTAAGACCATTAAAGCCTGTCTCCGAATTGTGCGATCCGCTATGCAAATTGTCGTGTTTAGTTAATCTAGCTAGTTTGCAAGAAGTGCAGATCAAATAACAACAGGTTCTAGATGGTTTTGCACCTGAAGCAAATGACCAGGCACCTTGAGCATCCGGATCCAAGCTTCTGATGTAACAAGTAATTAACTGGTTGTAAAACAAAATGCAAGAGCTGAAACTTCTCGAAACCCTAAAATGACTCCAATTGGATGTCATCCATTCAAAACACCGGAACAAGTCGGTGATTTGAGCTGCACTTACCAGGCCTTGCTCGTATGTATGACTGAGGCTGTACGAAAGTCCGTGTGTAGTCCTTTTCGTAGCTATTCACTACCATAAACCGCGGAGTCGGAATTTCGGAACCCACAGCGGCTTTCTTCGCAGGAGACGTCAAGACCTGATTCTTCCATCCAACACGAATGAAAGGGATAAGGACCGGTCAGAAACCCAACCACAGGGACAAGAGTTGGGAAGAATGACCAGCAACTCAACGCCAGGATTCCAATCCCCCGCGACAGCAATCCAACTATCAAACCTCAACAACCCCACAGCAAACACGACCAAAACTTCCACACAAACAGTCAAGACACACAGCACAAACCCCAAAAACCCCACCGCTTCGGCAGCCTCGGCATCCTTGACCGCGGGGGAACTGCTAGAATTCGCCCCTCGCACGAACTCATCCCCATCAAGCTCCTGCCGCGACGTCACAATCGACAACTTCTTGTTGATATCCAAGGGCCGCGGCCGAAACGACAAACGTTTCATGACGGCAGCAGTGCCAGAACCCCAAAACCCACGAGACGATCAAGGAATGAGAGATCACGCTGCAGAAGAAGAGGAGCAAATCGCTACTCTAATTCATTCCCCACCCAAAACCAACCTCTGCCCCTCGGCCACCTCCTCCTCTTCCTCGTCGTCGTCGTCGTCTACTACTTAGATTATTGTCATGGCCTGTCAGCCCCTGCCGCATGCTACAGTGCCTGCCTCTCTCACTCACTCTCTCACAAGAGAATCCCTTCTTCTTCTTCTGCCCTCAAGCTCCTCTTCTCGCCCTCACTCCCTCTCTTCCTGCCGTACTTTCTTCCTGCCGTACTTTCTTCCTTCCTTCCTTCCTTGCTTGTATTGTATTGTGTTGCTGGTATATTATTACACTTTTACTACTGCTGCAATGCTCGCTCTCTCGCTCGCTCGTGAGATGATGCAGCGTCGGAATGTGATGCTCCGCATGCGCTGTGCTGTGGCATCGTCGTCGCTGTTCCCTACAGGAGACAGAGGCCCGACCCCGATCATGGGGTTATATATGCAAGTTTGGGGACGGGCTTGCATGCCCTTCCCCCTTATCCCACGCTCCCCCTTCGCTATGCTACTAACTTGCTTGTGTGCTTAGCTCCCTGATTAGATAGTTAGTTCACTTCACTTCCCTTATTTAGTTAGTTACGCATCGCCTGGTTTGATTACTGTTCCCATTCGTTTTGTTGCATCTGCCTGTGGGTTTCCTTGTTTTTGATTTTTGTTTGTAAATGTTGTTGTTGTTGTTTTTATTTATTTACTTATTTATTTATTTAAGTGGGATTGATTTTCTTGGAATCGAGTTTGTGTCCTTGGATGTGGAGTTGTGTGGATGTAGTTTGAACTAATGAATTCATCTATGTGTGTATGTATGTATGTATAATGAGTCATTTTAAAAATAATATACAGTCCTATAGAAACCATAAAAAGTAATAAAAAAATATAAAAATGAAAAATAAACATCAATTAAACACACACACACACACACACCATATATAGGACTGTAGATTAATGTTTGGTTTACAAAGTAGCACATAGACATTGTCATACACACAAATATTCTTAAGCATTATTTGTCTGTTTACAAATGAAAATTTGTTTTGTCTTGTACTCAAATCAATATATAAGCATGAGTTGACAAAAATATTTTATTTTTATTATATGTATTTATATATAGTTCCATGACTGCATAAGAAAACATTTTGATGAATTATATTTACGGTAGGTTTATGATCCATTACAGAATGTCACATGTAATGTTAATCAAAACCTATATTACTTATGAAATGATTAAAATAAGTTAAAAAGTAGTAGACTCAATGTACATCAAAATATAAAATAAATGTTTAAGAGTACTCATCCCCTTAAACTTGTGAGTATTCTGAATTGTTCATACGGAAAACACATCTTACAGGTATGTAAATTATTTCATCATCTGCAACGAAACAATCAACAAGTAATTTACAGACTCTGATTATCTATGCTTGATGAAGCACAAAAAGAGTATATGCATTTTACACTGTAATAAAAATAAATAAAAAATAATAAAAAACTCATCTAACAGCTTAATGAGAAACTTCGTCAGGGGTGCGGGAATAGGACCACATACGGGGATGGGTACGCGCGCTTAAAACCGAGACAAACCTAGCTAGTAAATAGCTGCATTCACACTGTAGTCACCACACTTCAGCGACCTCCGTCACGGCAGACGCAAAAGCAAAGTCCCAGAAGCGCAGAATTGCAGCGAGTGACGAGCGAGAATTCGTCGTGTGGGGTATTGATTTGGGGATCTATAGACGCAGAAGCATAGAGATCATCGCATGTCGATATTGCGGAGAATAATACAGGCACCAAACTAGCCATTGATCGATGACAAACCACAGCTTTTGTGGCCTTTACGACAGCAACTGTTGTTGCCTGACAGGCGCAATAATGTGAGAGCTGCCATAATGCAGGTATACCATCGCCATCCTCTCCCATCCGAAGTGCTCCCTTTGCTCTTGTTGCTTCTCTCGCTGCTGTCATGGTTGTGAAGCCCTTCTTGCATCGAGGCAAAAGGTTGGCCGTGTGCATTGGATGAGCTTGAGTTTGGTTCGTTTCCTTGCAGGCTGTTTGTGAGTTTCGAAAGTGTATGCCTTATTTTGTGATTGCAGTCTTGTGGGTTTTGAAGAGGGGCTTCCCATAGCTGATTTCTCGCATGAAGAGTTGAGTTCCTGTCTTTTGGGTTAGTGCTTGGTCTGTCTCAGCGCAGCCTCTTTGAAGGGAAGCGTCGATGGCGTCTTGGGGTGGGGCAGCAATGGCACGGATGCTCTTGTGCTGCTGCTGCTGTGCGCTTCTCATCCAGTCTGGTCTTGGCGCCGATGGTAAGTTCTTTGATCTGCTCAGTATTTCTCTGCTAGTTTTGAGCTGCGATCTTGCCTATCGAAGCGTTTCTTTCTTTGTGTTAAGTTGTGCATGTATCGTTCTTGGGTCAGTATTTGAGGTCACTCTGTGTTAGTGTAGTTTCCTTAGTTTTGAAATAGTTGCTGCACTTAAGGAAACAGCTGGGAGTGATGGAATCGAAGTATACGATAATGATAGACCCTGTTCGTAAGACGCTTATGAGAAGCCAATAGAATTGCCTCTACCTCCGCGGTTGTATTGTTTTCTGTTGTTGGATTTTCAATGAGGTGTCTTCTGGTTTGAAGCCCGTTGCCTGCAATTTAACAAGAAAATGAAACAGTCGATATTAATCTGTAGAAATGAAACGTTTCACTAATTTCGAGTTTGTCCTGGAGATGGCGCTTGTGCTCTAAGATCACTGCTTATTAGCTGCTTCATTTACTGTGACGATTATTCATTACGGTTCGTGCGATTTTTTCAATATGATTTGGTCGTCTTGGAAACCTGGATGCGAGCTCTTGATAGGAGACTCTTTGCTTTCGTTCTTTAGAAAACGTAGTTCAATGTGGACTAGATTCCAACCTTCTAATACTTGAAGTCGTATAACCCGATTAGGGGAATCTCAACTCTAATGTGAAACCAAGATCTAGTTGGGTGATCTGCATTTACGACTCCCGGTACTGATCTAAACCTTGGCATTGCGTATGTGAGCAGCGAATGCTGCGTTTTTGAGCAACATCAACGAATACCGTTTGTCCCAGGGTTTACCAGCCTTCGGCACAAATGCAGGTGCATCTTGTGTTGCACGACAAGTGGCGGAGAAATTCCGAGGCACTTCGTGCACCAACTCTACGGGCACTGACACGGTCGATGGTCAAGAGCCACAATTTGACGACGCATTACTGAAGAAGTGCAACTTGCAGCTTGTGAATGTTAAAGACGGGTTTATAGGTCCATCTTGCGTGCCGGCTGGAATCAGTGCAGCTGATGCTCCTAAGGTTGCCGCAATCAACATCACCAAGTCTCAATATGCAGAATTGAATGATACAAAATATGTTTCTGCAGGGGCCGGGTCAGTGGACAACGCATGGTTTGTAATGGTGCTTGCGACCAACGCGAGCGAAGGAAACTTTATAAACCAGGATTTGGACCCATCCTCAGCTTTTGCTCTGCGTGTTAGTTTAGCTCCAATCGCAGTCATAATCTATGTTGTGTCGACCATGGCACTAGGATGTGCTTTCTAAGCCATCTTCATTTCTCATAGGTTTGAAGGGGAAGGGCTTAGGTCAATGAGGTACTTGCAGAGCATCACTTCATGTGATTAGAATTAAGACCCGATTGAGGAGGTACTGTTTTTTTGAAGGTTTTCAAACTGTTTGTCGTGTGTCAGGCATTCCTACTCAACTTTCGGTTTTGGGTAGAATTTATATCGTCCATTTTTAATCTGCAAATAGAGTTCGCTTTTCGAGCAATCACTCCGTTACGCCCTTTTGCACATCTGATGACCTAATGTAGGTGAACATTGACTATGCGATTACGAAATCATCAGCAAGACAACAACAGATACGCCACAAGTGGATGTCAGCTACGAAACAAAACTTACCGTAACATGAAAATTCATACCATTTTCAGTAGGATGAAGAATCAGCTGAATATGTACTTCTCATATCCAAATGTGCACACTCCAACCTAGAGGTTCACTTCAGTCGTGCCCATGTAGTAAACCCTTAGGTCACCACCACAAAAGACCACAGGTCAGAATCTAAATGGAGCCGAGGAGAACGAAGTCTTCCTCGGCGCTGTGTAACGAACAGAATCCATCTCACGAACTAGAACCCATCTGGAAACCCTAAATCCCAGTCACTTGTATAAAGTCCTGCTCCTCCTTCACAGTACTCATCTTCTTGTGAGTGCTGTATTCGGCGCCGAATACTTTTGTGGTGTCCTGATGGTTGCGCCTGCACATACTGTTGAATGTATGTTCATTTGCAGTCCAGTGCAATAGCTGGTTGGGTCGACACGATGCAGTCTTTCCCTCAGCGCAAGCATCGACTGACTTGCGGGCAGTGTGTCTAGTAGGATTACTGACCTTTAAGGGGTTTGCATAGTTTCTTGTGGTCTTCTTGACGATTCCGGGGCTATATCTACGTGAGCCGGCTTTGCTAGTTAGGTCAAGCTCCTGAAAGCTACCGAAGAGTGACGTGATGCTTATAGCCCTACGATTTCGAACTATAACAGCGATGGGGTTACGTACATACACTACAATTTCAAAAAGACTAGTTGGGTAACGTAATAGTGTATAACTGAGTGATTTTTACGGTGTCAGGTCCCCCTCTGGCATGTGTCAGAAGACACTCATACATGTTCTGCAGTTCATCTGATATGCTTGGTATTCAGATGTTGTCAAGTTTAGGGTTTTGATACTGCAACACTTCTTTATTGATCAACGAGATACAACCTTCACGGTCAATCTTGTATTGCCCGTGTTTTTTATTTCTCTCGAAGAGTGATGCAAGGTTATAATTCTTGTGCTTTGTTTTAGGCTCAGGATTCGCTCTTATGCTACATTTTAGGGCTATCCCTCAACGGAGTCGTAACTGTGTTTGACGGGCACTCTGTGGGTTACGTAGTAGTTGTCTCCTCTTTGATGGCTTTGTATTGCTGGATAGTGTTCACTGATGAAAAAGGCTCCTGCAACATGCTTGCAATGAGTATCTACCATGATTCTCTAGGACCGAACTGCCTTCCTTCTGAGATATACAAAACTTTCAAGGTCGTTGATGATCAATCAATTATGGTATGTCGGAATTACATTGACGACCACAAAATTTGACTAGGACGAGCTGAGGCCTTGTTGAGACATTGTTGAAGTCTTGTGGTAATTCAGGCGGGTGATGTTTAGCATAGTTCACATGAGCCGGACTGCGGCGCTGATTAATCTAGAAATTAGTCTTTCGCTCCTATCTGACGCCTGTCTAACCACTGATCAGTTATTATCTATTACTATGCGCACAGTCTGCCCCATACCGAGTCTGCAGCAGTCTTCCCTTTCATGGAGGAACTACTGCCGCATGGGGCACAAATTGACGCTCACTAGAAGATGATGGAAAGGTTCTCATTTCTTTTCCTCCATATATGCGAGCTATATCTTCTCTGAATCAAATGTGAACTTTACAGGGTTCCCAGAAAGACCTTATGGACCAAAGACGGAAGTCACTAACAATTCATGAATTGCTTTTAGGAAACTCAATGGTAAATCAATACATGATTCAGTCCATTAAAGAAATCTAGCTCAATGAGCCACCTTGTTCTCAAGAATGAACACTATTACCCAAGTCCATACACCATCAAAACCAGTGAACATTTAATCCCAGAATCTCATAATGGTGTAAATCACAGATGGCATTCATGAATGGAAAAAGGTCCAGAGAAGAATCAGAAAACCTATATTAACTGCACTAATAACGCTTAGTGCATCAACTTCTCAATCTGAGCAAAATTGCATGTGATCTGTTAAACCTTAACTTCCAAGCGGATAGAAGTGATGGAATAAACTAACATATTCTACCACATTCTTTCTGTAAACCAGCAGTAATGCCGAGCAGTATAGATTAATGCACTTCTCTTCAGTGAGAGGAATGTCGTCATACAAATCATGTTTTAAAGTCACTACTTGAAACCCTCCTCGACCACTGAAGGCCGATTTGTTTGGAAACATTCGTATCATCAATTTATGGGTATTTGTCTGATATGTTCAAATACGTCCCTTGAAAACGATAACTTTACAAACTATAACCATAATCCGAGATGCAGAGAAAAAACACTGACATGAATACTAACAGACATAATAAAATCACAGTCTTCCTTGGATCAAATGTTCGTTAATTCTAGTATCTAGTAGCAAAAGATCGAGGAGAAACAATAAAAATAGTCGTAAGTATGGATGAGAAATGTCAAAATTATCAGTAGCCAACTCCAACTTGTGCTGATATATGAAAATGACTACTGATATTTTATTTGTTAAATGAAATAACAATACTAGTGATTTTTTGTGACTGTTGTGTTAAGAAAAATAACAATAGGATTCATTATCATATTTGCCTTGTTTTTTTACTTAAGATGTTAATGATGATTATCAAGCCTCTTTAAACATAATTTAGCTCTCAGGTTTTATTTTAGGTAAATTAGAAATGGATGAAATTCATCCATATAATTGTCCAAAAACATCCATCTTCATCAAATTCAACAAACTCTATCAAATTGTTTAGAATGTAGGATATTTTTGAGCGAGAAGTTCATGTGGCATTGCCAATACTTGTCCTTCCACCTGATCATAGAGAAGTTGGATTTGATAATGCTTGTATTAGGAAAAATAGAGGCTAGCTTGCCACAAAAATTTTGCGGTTGTAGAAATCGGCCATTGCAATGAATCCATCCAATGTGAAATTTTGTTTACAAATTGGAGTACTTATCAATGGCATCTTTGAAGATCATCTCCTTGCAATAGGTGCACACCATTGCTTGGTGGTCATTCTTAATATTCTTGATGGATTGAGCATCCCATCTAGCCAACTCCAACTTGTGCTGATATATGAAAATGCTCAATAGAAATATCCATAGTATACACAAATTGTATGGCAACACTTTTGAAATGTCCTTGTTGTTGGCATTGTTGTGACAATTGTGTTGGCCAACAATAGATGTAATGTTGTCAAAGAGCCTAATAAATAAGGCCTCTATGTTATAAATCATGACCTTGGACTTGATTGCTAGTAATAAAGCCATAAGACTCATAACAAAGGTACCTTGATCTTGAATGAAAGCCTTCGTATTCTTGAGAGTCACATGTCAAGATCTACAAATGACCAAATTCAAGATGTCATAAGCCATGGCTAGAATCTTCATACTCTATGGACCATGTATTTTACACAAATCCACCAAGAATTGAAACAAGCCTTTAAGTTGGACGTTCTATTGATTCAAAAAGATACTAAGTCTTTGCAAACATATCACCACAATAGAGATTACCTCTCTAACGTTGTTGAGTACAAGTAGTACCACCTATTATGAAGAAAAAGGAATACATGCAAGCAACTTTTACATGAAATACTTACAAATTATAATGTGCACTTGTCACAAAAATCTACATATTTTTTTTCATAGACGACTACCATGTGCCCATGAATTTTGGACATATATAACCCATCTTTTTGATAAGATTGGACTACCAACAAAGGTAAGAAATAAGGTCCTTTAAGATGCTGATGAACTAGTCATCATACTGCTTGACGTACTTAGCTTGGATCAAAAAGTCAAGTTGGTGCAAAATACAACACACTTGCATAATTCCATCACCAAAGGCCTCAATCATCCTTATCACGACACCATAAATTTGCCTAATCATTGTTTGCTTGATATTTGTGCTAATTCTAATTAGTTGAATTTTAGAGCAATTCTTCTATTTTAGAGCAATGATATCTAAAAGTTTTGCACTTGTAGCAAAGATTACTTTAACTATCTTGCAATTGAAAAGTAGAATAGCAAGAAGGTGGAAGTTATGCAATTTTAATTGATGCTTGAATTGGACTCAAAAGTCAAGATAAGTGGTGCCTTATTAATAATGATAATCTTAAAAAAATACTAGAAATAATAACCTTTAAAGAAAAAATGAAGAATCATTTTAAAATATTAAAAATAAAAAATCTAATATATTCTTGATTAAAATCGTAATTGAATCTTAATAAAATCTTAAGTCAAATTCTAATTAAAATCCTAATTGAATCTTAACTAAATCTTCTATCAAATTTTAATGAAATCCTAATGAAATCTTAAATCTTAGACAAACCTTAAACAAGTTCTAAAACAAATCTTAAACAAACCTTAATCTTAATCAAATTCTAGACCAAATCCTAATCAAATCCTAGATCTTAAAGAAACTCTTAACAAATCCTATAGCAAATAGAAACTCAAAAAACTTATAATCAAATTATTAATATCAATTCAAAATTACATACTTCTTAATGTTTTAGTTGAAAATAAGTATAAGAATGATGAAATCAATTTCACTTACCAATTGACAGAAATATAAGATAATAAAATCATAGGTAGCTTCCTAGTTCAATCTAAATGTTGAACTTCCAATATCAATATCTCCTTCATGAACCATTGAATCACTCCCAAATTTCAATTACAATGTTGAAAATCGAATCTACTATCTACACAAAAAAATTTCACTTAAATCCAATTGATAGATCACTAAAGATCTAAGAAATATTCTTTAATCCTCAAACTGTAATTTCTAAGACCTCAATCCATGAAAACCTTAACACACTTCGATCTAACTATTTGATTGCTTTCAAAATTTGCACACACATTCAAAATTAACACACTAATATATTATCCAAATTTCACTTGTACACACACCATAGAACTCAAGAAATCCTCAAACTCATAAACATATTTTTATTTCTTAAAATCTAATCC